TGCCCAGATCTTTCAAGGATTTGTGAGCTCCTCACACAATCCAGTCTGGTTAAACCCAGGATGGATCGTAGGCAGGCCAGCCTAAATGTTTCTAACCGGCGAAGATGTTCCATTAGGGGGGTCCACGTTTCGCAAGCGTAGAGAAGGGAGGGAATGACCGTGGCCGAGAAGACCTGAAGCTTAGTGCGGAGCGACAGACCAGGTAGCTTCCACACAGCGTTACGCAACCGATGAAAAGATATTGCCGCTCGACTGATTCGGAGTGAGACCTCTGCTGTTAAACTGGAGCCAGTCATAAGCACACTGCCCAGGTATGAGAAACTCTCCACTCTCTCCACAACTGCCCCATCACCGATTGGGAGTTGTGGGGGTGGAGTGTCCGATGGTACAAAATACCCAGGCAGGTGCTTAGTTTTGGTGGGGCTGATGGTAAGGCCCCACCTCTTAGTGGCACGCTCCAGTCTCAGCAGCAGCGTCTCCAACTCCTCCTCTGACTGAGCAGCTATTACCAAGTCATCAGCATACATAACGTGGTTGAGCAATAGGGAGCCATCCCTTGACCGCACCCGGGCATCGATTAGCCTCCCATTATATCTGTACCATATGGAGATTCCCCCGGTACAGCTATTGAAGGCTTCACGAACTACGTGGTCAAAATAGATGTTAAATAATGTGGGAGCCAGAGGACATCCCTGTCGCACCCCAAGGTGTACAGGGAATGGCTCTGACTCCCGGCCACGTAGTTTTACCCGGGCCCGCTCACCATCATGAAGGTCCTTAATGATCGTGAGCAGAGGGTCAGGTACTCCAAAAGCACGAAGAACGACCCAGAGCCCAGGCCTACTGATGGTATCATAGGCCTTGACCAGGTCAATAAAGCAGAGATGTAGGTCTTGTTGGAATTCCCTACACCTGTGCTGTAGCAGACGGACAGAAAATATGGCATCTGTGCAGGACCGCCCTTTCCTGAAACCGCATTGGGGCTCCGCAAGCCTCTCCTCAGCGTGCCTGGCAAGGCGATGCTGAATAATCCTTGCCAGGACCTTTCCCGGCACACTGAGGAGTGAGATGCCCCTGTAGTTGTTACAGTCTGTGCGGTCCCCCTTCTTAAAAAGGGGGACCACCAGGGCATCCTTCCAATCCTGCGGAACCCGTCCAGTGGTCCAGACTGTTGTTATGATGTCATATAGGGCAGTCTGTGCACAAACGCCACCCTCCCTCAGCATTTCGCTTGGGAGATCATCTCTGCCCGCTGCCTTTCCTGGTCTCAGACTCCGGATCGCCTTCAATACTTCCTCAGCAGATGGCACCTCAGCCAGCCACTCACAGGGGGTGACTTCATCCAATATTTGAGGCACCGCAGCCTCAGCAGGGTCATCCTCACTTTGTGCCACGATGTTTTCCTGGCTGAGGGATTTTCCCTCCCCCAGGACCTCACAGAAATGCTCAGCAAATCTGCGAACCTGTTCCTGGGGGTCGGAAATTGGATCACCGTTTTTTCCCCTAATGATGGTAATAGGTGTGGCGCTGCAGGTTACTTTTTTGATGGAGTTAAATAGAGATTTGTGATCACGGGCCACTGAGGCAGACTCCATCTCCTCAGCAACCCGCGACCACCACCCATCCTTGCAGCGCCTCACGGCTCTCCGAACCTCCGAGCGAAGGCTGCGGTAAGCCTCCTCATTCTCTGACGTGGGATTCTGTAGCCGATGACAGTGGGCCTGTCGCTTTTTCTCAACCATCGTGAACAACTCCTCTGTCATCCAGGGTGTCTGGGGAGGTCTGGACCGCGTACCCAAAGCAGCCATTGCAGCTGCATGAGTCACAGTCCTAAACCTCGCCCATTTACCCTCGACATCAGGAGGAGTCGGGGACGATGCCAATCCCAGCCGCAAGCGATGATGAAATTCTCGCTTGCAACTTTCATCAGATAACTGAGACCAGGCCACTTTAGGTTGGAATGGGGTCCTGGGTGTACACCCACCACCGGAGTGGAAGAATGGCAGGCGCATCTTACAGATGACTAGTCGATGGTCAGAGGGCAGATCAGCTCCACGGTAGGTCCTGGTGTCAAGGACATGGGCTCGCATTCGCTGGTCCGTCACTATGTAGTCCAGCAGATGTTCTTGCTTGGACCCGGCATGCATCCATGATGTTGTGTGGATGCGCCGATGCCGGAACAGCGTGTTGGTAATTACAAGCCCATGGGCTGCACAAAAATCTAGCAGCCTCCTACCGTTGTTATTGAGCTGATCTGGCCCATGCCCTCCAATCACTCCAGACCAGGTGCCAGTATCATGACCAACTCGGGCATTGAAGTCACCCAACATGATGACTCTATCCCGAGGGGCCACTTTAGCCAGCACCTGTGACAGGAGGTCATAGAAGGCATCTGACTCATCGGCTTTGCCTGCATCCCTCCACGGATGTTCATCTTCGGTGGGGGCATAAGTAACCACGAAACCACGTAACCTACACACACACACCTACACACACACACACCTACACACACACCTACACACACACACACCTACACACACGCACACACACCTACACACACACACACACCTACACACACACACACCTACACACACACCTACACACACACACATACACAGACACACACACAGACACACACACACACAGACAGTAAGGGTGGGTGCTTAGCAACCACCACACGCCCGGCCGCCTTTGTCTCTCCCGCCCAACCCCACAGAGCCAGCCACTGGAGTTGCGCTGGTGCCAGGCTAGGTGCATCAGTGGTCTGTGCCAGGCTAGGTGCACCAGAGTCGTCGTCTTTGCCGTCGCCTGGAAGCAAAGCTGGACGATGTGCGCCCCCTGGTGGAGGCCACGCCGCGAAACGTCACCAACTCGGCAACAGCAGCTGTGCTGCTGTGCCAGCCTAGGTGCATGAGTAGGTCACGTGACAGACCCTGCAGGTGCCGTGGGTTGTACCGCTGTGCCAGGCTAGGTGCATGAGGTCACGTGACAGACCGTGCAGGTGCCATGGGTTGTACTGCTGTACCAGGCTAGGTGCATGGGGAGGTCACGTGACAGACCCTGCAGGTGCCATGGGTTGTACGGCTGTGCCAGGCTAGGTGCATGAGGTCACGTGACAAACCCTGCAGGTGCCATGGGTTGTGCTGCTGCTGTGCCAGGCTAGGTGCATGAGGAGGAGGTCACGTGACAGACCCTGCAGGTGCCGTGGGTTGTGCTGCTGTGCCAGGCTAGGTGCATGAGGAAAACTCCACAACCACAACAACTAACGATGTCCACATTTTATTCCATTCGTGATGTCCACACAAAGACAAAGATTCCCCGCGTAGCCTGGACCAGGCCGCGGGGGCAAGTGCTGTCAGCGAGCACCTATTAAGGCTACCCACACTGTGGCACACACGCAGACACCTACACACGCACACACACACCTACACACACAACAACAACAACAACACGGGGCAGACCCTACACACACACACCTACACACACACACACACCTACACATACACACCTACACACAGGCACCTACACACGCACACACACACCTACACACACACACCTACACACCTACACACGCACACACACACCTACACACACACACCTACACACACACACCTACACACACACACACCTACACACACCTACACACACACCTACACACACCTACAGACACACACACACACCTACAGACACACACACAAACCTACAGACACACACACACCTACACACACACACACCTACACACACCTACACACACACCTACACACACCTACAGACACACACACACACCTACAGACACACACACACACACCTACAGACACACACACACCTACACACACACACACCTACACACATACCCACACACATACACACACACACCTACACACACACACCCACCTACACACAGACACCTACACACACACCTACACACACACACCTACACACACACCTACACACACCTACACACAGATACACACACAGGCACCTACACACACACACACACACCCACACACACCTACACACACACCTACACACACCCAGACACAAACGCACCTACACACACCCAGACACCTACACACGAACCCACCCACACACACACAGACCTACACACGCGCACACACACGCACCTACAAACACGCACACACGCACCTACACACACACACGCACACAAGAACCTACACACGCACACAGGCACCTACACACGCACACACACACCTACACACGCACACCTACACACGCACACACACACCTACACACGCACACACACACCTACACACGCACACACACACCTACACACACACACAGGCACCTACACACACACACCTACACACACACACAGGCACCTACACACACACACCTACACACACACACAGGCACCTACACACACACACCTACACACACACACACATCTACACACACCTACACGCACACACACCTACACGCACGCACACCTACACACACGCACACACACAAACACCTACACACACACCTACACACACACACCTACACACACGCACACACACCTACACACACACACCTACACACACGCACACACACCTACACACACACACCTACACACACGCACACACACCTACACACACACACACACCTACACACACACCTACACACACACACCTACACACACGCACACACACCTACACACACACACACACCTACACACACACACCTACACACACACACCTACACAACAACAACAACAACCGCCATTCGCCACTAAGTGGCGGTGACATCACCACGACGCTTGTGCCAGGCTATGTGCACCGTGAGGCCACACCTACACACACACACACCTACACACACACACCTACACACACACACACCTACACACACGCACACACACCTACACACACGCACACACACCTACACACACACACCTACACACACGCACACACACCTACACACACACCTACACACACACACCTACACACCTACACACACACCTACACACACACACCTACACACACGCACACACACCTACACACACACCTACACACACACACCTACACACCTACACACACACACACACCTACACACACACCTACAAACACACACACCTACACACACACCAAAACTGATCCACACAATCTCATCCCAGCCGTTACAACGAGTCTAGCAGCACCACCACCACCCAGTCCTCCACTCCCCTCCTGGTGGAGAGTCCTTCACTCCCCTCCTGGTGGAGAGTCCTTCACTCCCCTCCTGGTATAGAGTACTCCACTCCCCTCCTGGTGGAGAGTCCTCCACTCCCCTCCTGGTGGAGAGTCCTTCACTCTACCTCCTGGTTGAGAGTCCTTCACTCCCCTCCTGGTGGAGAGTCCTTCACTCCCCTCCTGGTGGAGAGTCCTTCACTCCCCTCCTGGTAGAGAGTCCTTCACTCCCCTCCTGGTGGAGAGTCCTTCACTCTACCTCCTGGTGGAGAGTCCTCCACTCCCCTCCTGGTGGAGAGTCCTTCACTCCCCTCCTGGTATAGAGTACTCCACTCCCCTCCTGGTGGAGAGTCCTTCACTCCCCTCCTGGTAGAGTCCTTCACTCCCCTCCTGGTAGAGAGTCCTTCACTCCCCTCCTGGTGGAGAGTCCTTCACTCTACCTCCTGGTGGAGAGTCCTCCACTCCCCTCCTGGTGGAGAGTCCTTCACTCCCCTCCTGGTGGAGAGTCCTCCACTCCCCTCCTGGTGGAGAGTCCCTCACTCCCCTCCTGGTGGAGAGTCCTTCACTCCCCTCCTGGTGGAGAGTCCCTCACTCCCCTCCTGGTAGAGAGTCCTTCACTCCCCTCCTGGTGGAGAGTCCTTCACTCCCCTCCTGGTGGAGAGTCCTTCACTCCCCTCCTGGTGTAAAGTCCTTCACTCTACCTCCTGGTGGAGAGTCCCTCACTCCCCTCCTGGTAGAGAGTCCTTCACTCCCCTCCTGGTGGAGAGTCCTCCACTCCCCTCCTGGTGGAGAGTCCCTCACTCCCCTCCTGGTGGAGAGTCCTTCACTCCCCTCCTGGTGGAGAGTCCTTCACTCTACCTCCTGGTGGAGAGTCCTCCACTCCCCTCCTGGTAGAGAGTCCTTCACTCTACCTCCTGGTGGAGAGTCCTCCACTCCCCTCCTGGTAGAGAGTCCTCCACTCCCCTCCTGGTGGAGAGTCCTTCACTCCCCTCCTGGTAGAGAGTCCCTCACTCCCCTCCTGGTGGAGAGTCCTTCACTCCCCTCCTGGTGGAGAGTCCTTCACTCCCCTCCTGGTAGAGAGTCCTTCACTCCCCTCCTGGTGGAGAGTCCTTCACTCCCCTCCTGGTAGAGAGTCCTTCACTCCCCTCCTGGTAGAGAGTCCTTCACTCCCCTCCTGGTGGAGAGTCCTTCACTCTACCTCCTGGTGGAGAGTCCTTCACTCCCCTCCTGGTGGAGAGTCCTTCACTCCCCTCCTGGTGGAGAGTCCTTCACTCCCCTCCTGGTGGAGAGTCCTTCACTCCCCTCCTGGTGGAGAGTCCTTCACTCCCCACCTGGTGGAGAGTCCTTCACTCCCCTCCTGGTAGAGAGTCCTCCACTCCCCTCCTGGTGTAAAGTCCTTCACTCCCCTCCTGGTAGAGAGTCCTTCACTCCCCTCCTGGTAGAGAGTCCTTCACTCCCCTCCTGGTGGAGAGTCCTTCACTCCCCTCCTGGTGGAGAGTCCTTCACTCTACCTCCTGGTGGAGAGTCCTCCACTCCCCTCCTGGTGTAAAGTCCTTCACTCCCCTCCTGGTAGAGAGTCCTTCACTCCCCTCCTGGTAGAGAGTCCTTCACTCCCCTCCTGGTGGAGAGTCCTTCACTCCCCTCCTGGTGGAGAGTCCTCCACTCCCCTCCTGGTGGAGAGTCCTTCACTCTACCTCCTGGTGGAGAGTCCTCCACTCCCCTCCTGGTGGAGAGTCCTTCACTCTACCTCCTGGTGGAGAGTCCTTCACTCCCCTCCTGGTAGAGAGTCCTTCACTCCCCTCTTGGTAGAGAGTCCCTCACTACCCTCCTGGTGGAGAGTCGTTCACTCTACCTCCTGGTGGAGAGTCCTCCACTCCCCTCCTGGTGGAGAGTCCTTCACTCCCCTCCTGGTGGAGAGTCCTTCACTCCCCTCCTGGTGGAGAGTCCCTCACTCCCCTCCTGGTGGAGAGTCCTTCACTCTACCTCCTGGTGGAGAGTCCTCCACTCCCCTCCTGGTGGAGAGTCCTTCACTCCCCTCCTGGTGTAAAGTCCTTCACTCTACCTCCTGGTGGAGAGTCCTTCACTCCCCTCCTGGTGGAGAGTCCTTCACTCTACCTCCTGGTGGAGAGTCCTTCACTCTACCTCCTGGTGGAGAGTCCTTCACTCCCCTCCTGGTGGAGAGTCCTTCACTCTACCTCCTGGTAGAGAGTCCTTCACTCCCCTCCTGGTGGAGATTCCCTCACTCCCCTCCTGGTGGAGAGTCCCTCACTCCCCTCCTGGTGGAGAGTCCCTCACTCCCCTCCTGGTGGAGACTACTTCACTCCCCTCCTGGTGGAGAGTACCCTCAGAGTGAGTCGGATTCCGATTCGTCTCCGTGTGGTTTCGTGAGACTCTGCAGCTCCTCGCCATCCTGGAGAGAGGCAGACAAAGGTCCCCCAGGTAGCCTTTAATACACCGTTGGGGCAAGTGCTGTTATCACACAAAAACAAAGGCCCCCCCAGGTAGCCTGTAACAAACCGTATCTGACTCACCTCACCATCCTCACCACGCTCACCCTGACCACGCTCACCCTCACCATCCTCACCTCACCATCCTCACCACGCTCACCCTCACCACGCTCACCCTCACCATCCTCACCACGCTCACCTCACCATCCTCACCATGATCACCTCACCATCCTCACCACGCTCACCCTCACCATCCTCACCTCACCATCCTCACCACGCTCACCTCACCATCCTCACCACGCTCACCTCACCATCCTCACAACGCCACCATCCTCACCACGCTCACCCTCACCATCCTCATCCCGCTCACCTCACCATCCTCACCCCGCTCACCATCCTCACCACGCTCACCTCACCATCCTCACCATCCTCACCACGCACACCCTCACCATCCTCACCACGCTCACCCTCACCATCCTCAACCTGCTCACCTCACCATCCTCACCACGCTCACCTCACCATCCTCACCACGCTCACCCTCACCATCCTCACCACGCTCACCCTCACCATCCTCATCCTGCTCACCTCACCATCCTCACCACGCTCACCTCACCATCCTCACCACGCACACCCTCACCATCCTCACCACGCTCACCCTCACCATCCTCATCCTGCTCACCTCACCATCCTCACCACGCTCACCCTCACCATCCTCACCCCGCTCACCATCCTCACCACGCACACCCTCACCATCCTCACCCCGCTCACCATCCTCACCACGCTCACCCTCACCATCCTCACCACGCACACCCTCACCATCCTCACCCCGCTCACCATCCTCACCACGCTCACCCTCACCATCCTCACCACGCACACCTCACCATCCTCACCACGCTCACCATCCTCACCATCCTCACCATCCTCACCACGCCACCATCCTCACCACGCACACCCTCACCATCCTCACCACGCCACCATCCTCACCATCCTCACCACGCTCACCCTCACCATCCTCACCACGCTCACCATCCTCACCACGCACACCCTCACCATCCTCACCACGCCACCATCCTCACCACGCACACCCTCACCATCCTCACCACGCCACCATCCTCACCATCCTCACCACGCTCACCCTCACCATCCTCACCACGCTCACCATCCTCACCACGCACACCCTCACCATCCTCACCACGCCACCATCCTCACCACGCACACCCTCACCATCCTCACCACGCCACCATCCTCACCATCCTCACCACGCACACCTCACCATCCTCACCACGCCACCATCCTCACCATCCTCACCACGCTCACCATCCTCACCATCCTCACCACGCTCACCCTCACCATCCTCACCACGCTCACCATCCTCACCATCCTCACCACGCACACCTCACCATCCTCACCACGCTCACCATCCTCACCATCCTCACCATCCTCACCATCCTCACCACGCACACCTCACCATCCTCACCACGCTCACCTCACCATCCTCACCCCGCTCACCTCACCATCCTCACCACGCACACCTCACCATCCTCACCCCGCTCACCTCACCATCCTCACCACGCTCACCATCCTCACCATCCTCACCACGCTCACCCTCACCATCCTCACCATCCTCACCTCACCATCCTCACCACGCTCACCATCCTCACCATCCTCACCACGCACACCTCACCATCCTCACCACGCTCACCTCACCATCCTCACCACGCACACCTCACCATCCTCACCACGCCACCATCCTCACCACGCACACCCTCACCATCCTCACCCCGCTCACCATCCTCACCACGCTCACCCTCACCATCCTCACCACGCACACCTCACCATCCTCACCACGCCACCATCCTCACCATCCTCACCACGCTCACCCTCACCATCCTCACCACGCTCACCATCCTCACCATCCTCACCACGCTCACCCTCACCATCCTCACCACGCTCATCATCCTCACCATCCTCACCATCCTCACCACGCACACCTTACCATCCTCATCCCGCTCACCTCACCATCCTCACCACGCACACCTCACCATCCTCACCACGCACACCTCACCATCCTCATCCCGCTCACCTCACCATCCTCACCACGCACACCTCACCATCCTCACCACGCTCACCTCACCATCCTCACCACGCACACCTCACCATCCTCATCCCGCTCACCTCACCATCCTCACCCCGCTCACCTCACCATCCTCACCACGCACACCTCACCATCCTCACCACGCTCACCTCACCATCCTCACCACGCCACCATCCTCACCATCCTCACCACGCTCACCCTCACCATCCTCACCACGCACACCTCACCATCCTCACCACGCCACCATCCTCACCACGCTCACCATCCTCACCACGCACACCTCACCATCCTCACCACGCCACCATCCTCACCACGCTCACCATCCTCACCACGCACACCCTCACCACGCTCACCATCCTCACCATCCTCACCACGCTCACCCTCACCACGCACACCTCACCATCCTCACCACGCTCACCCTCACCATCCTCACCACGCACACCTCACCATCCTCACCACGCCACCATCCTCACCACGCACACCCTCACCATCCTCACCACGCTCACCCTCACCATCCTCACCACGCTCACCCTCACCATCCTCACCACGCTCACCATCCTCACCATCCTCACCACGCACACCTCACCATCCTCACCATGCTCACCATCCTCACCATCCTCACCACGCTCACCATCCTCACCATCCTCACAACGCTCACCCTCACCATCCTCACCACGCTCACCATCCTCACCATCCTCACCACGCTCACCCTCACCATCCTCACCACGCTCACCATCCTCACCACGCTCACCCTCACCATCCTCACCACGCACACCTCACCATCCTCACCACCCACACCCTCACCATCCTCACCACGCTCAGCATCCTCACCACGCTCACCACCCTCACCATCCTCACCACGCACACGCCACCATCCTCACCCCGCATGACCGCTCTGCCCTCGCCCACTCCTGTGCCCTCCTCCTCCTCGACTCTCCTCCGCCTCCACCGCCTCCTCCTCCTCCTCCACCTCCTCCTCCACCGCCTCCTCCTCCTCCTCCTCCACCGCCTCCACCGCCTCCTCCGCCTCCTCCGTGACCGCCGCGCCCGGCCCCCGCGTACGCAAACACCGCCAGCGGGACGACGGCCGCGTGCACGAGGAACGGCGGCCCCGGGCGGAACGCGAGGAGCGCCGCCGACAGGGCCGCCACGGCCACGGCCGACATCTGGGCGGCCAGCACGTGGAACATGTTGTCGCGGAACTTGAGGATGAACGCCACCGCCAGGCCCTGCAGGGCCGTCACCGCGACGAGGGCCGCCGAGGCGAGGCCGTGCCCGCCGAACGCCGCCGACAGCCAGCCGGGGGGGGCGGCCGCGGCCGCCCCCGTCCCCGCGGCCGCCGTCCCCGTCCCCGCGGCCGCCCCCGTCCCCGCGGTCCCCGCGGCCGCCGCCGCCGCCCGTCGCCGCCGCGCCTGCAGCACCAGCGGCACGGCGTTGAAGGCGACGCCGAAGCCGTAGAGGCGAGTGCTCTGCAGGAAGATGCTCTCCGAGCCGCCGGTGACACCGGCGACACCGGCGCCGGCGGGCAGCCGCTCCTTGAAGATCTTCTCGTTGTAGACGTTTGCCGCCGAAGCCACGACGCACTGCAGCAGCACCAGCGCGTGAGCCGGGTGCGGGAGACGACCGGGCCAGTGCGGCGGCAGCGGCGGCGGGGCGGTGGCGGTGGCGGTGGCGGTGGGCGTGGGGGGCTCGTCCGGGAGACCCCCACGACCCCGACGACGACCCCCACCATCGGCCAGGCGGGGGAGAAGCCGCGGGGATTTCGGGGGCTCGTCCGGGAGACCCCCACGACCCCTACGACGACCCCCACCATCGGCCAGGCGGGGGAGAAGCCGCGAGGATTTTGGGGGCTCGTCCGGGAGACCCCCACGACCCCGACGACAACCTCCACCATCGGCCAGGCAGGGGAGAAGCCGCGAGGATTTCGGGGGCTCGTCCGGGAGACCTCTACGACCCCTACGAAGACCCCTACGGAGACCCCCACGGAGACCCCTACGACCCCCGTCGTCGCTCCCGCCATCGGCCAGGCGGTGCAGGAGCCACGGGGATTTCGGGGGCTCGTCCGGGAGACGCCCAAGACCCCTGCGACCCCTACGGAGACCCCCGTCCGTCACGTCGAACGTGGGTGCCATGGTGCGGTCGTTTATCCGCAGGCTGCTGTTGCCGTTGCTGCTGTTGGTGGTGGTGGTGATGGTGGTGGTGGTGGAGGAGGTGATGCGGTGAGGTCCCGAGGCTTCGTTGTCCATCCCGAGGCCGACGATGGCAAGGAAGAGGATGGCGATGATGGCCCACTGCACGCTGGACAGGTGCCGCCTGTGAACAGGGAGGATAGAGGCAAAGGTGCCTCCGTGTAGCCTCCAAAGACTGCCGGGGCAAGTGCTGTTGGCGAGCAGCACCTGTGAGGGTCAGCACCACGCCCGGCTACCTTTGGCTCCCCCAGTTGGGATGTTCACTACACACCGCCACAGCAGGGTCTCATTTGAGGCTGAGTCGACCTAGGGGAGGCCCAGGACCGGTTCAGATAATCGTCACTGGTGTTGGCCATGAGCAGGAATCGAACCCGGGTCGCCAGGTTTATAGCGCAGCGTAGCGCTAACCACTACACTATCGCTCCCGACACACAGACACACACCTACACACACACAGTCACACAGACACACACACACAGACACACACACACAGACACACACACGGACACACACACAGTCACACAGTCACACACCGACACACAGACACACACACAGACACACAGTCACACACACACATAGACACACACAGACACACACACACAGACAAAGATCCCCCATATAGCCTTAACAGACTGTAGGGGCAAGTGCTGTTAGCGAGCACCTATGAAGGCCGGAACGGTACACGAGGGGGTGGGTGGCCAGCACCACGCCCGACCGCCTTTGTCTCCCTAGTGGCAATGTTTACACACCGCACCAGGTACTCATTTGAGCCTGAGTCGACCTAGGGGAGGCCCGGGACCAGTTCAGATAATCGTCACTGGTGTTGGCCATGAGCAGGAATCGAACCCGGGTCGCCAGGTTCATAGCGCAGCGTAGCGCTAACCACTACACTATCGCTCCCCACACACACACACAGTCACACACACACACACGCAGTCACACAGACACACACACACAGACACACACACAGACACACACACACAGACACACACACACAGACACACACACAGACACACACACACAGACACACACACACAGACACACACACAGAGACACACATACACTCACACACAGACACACAACAACAACAACAACCGCCATTCGCCACTAAGTGGCGGTGACGTCACCACGACGCTTGTGCCAGGCTATGTGCACCCTGAGGCCACGTGAAGTGTCGAACGCCCGCTGGCAGGAGGTCACGGGGCAGACCCAGCAGGTGCCACGGGTCGACTGACTGAGATGACTGGCTGATGCACCACCTGTGCCCCCTACTGTGCCAACCTGCTGTGCTTTAGCCACCCGGCGCTCCGCTCGCTGTTGTGAGCGTCGCTCCTCCGCCCTCCGTTGTTGTTGGAGGGCGACTGCCTCCAACTGCCCAGTAGCATCCTTCACGAGCCTCCTCCACAGAGGCCGATCTTGACACCGCTGGTACCAGTCATCGGCAAGTCCACTCAGCTCCACGTCCTCCTGTACCACATCACTCCATCTCTTCTCTAGCCCGTGCCGCGCCCGCTTAGCCCCCTCAATCCGGCCAAACAAAAGCTGTTTCGGCATGCGGTGGCTGGGCATGCGGGCTACATGACCCAGCCATCGCAGCCTTGCCTGCCGGAGGAGCTCACCGATGGGACCCTGCCCAGATCTTTCAAGGATTTGTGAGCTCCTCACACAATCCAGTCTGGTTAAACCCAGGATGGATCGTAGGCAGGCCAGCCTAAATGTTTCTAACCGGCGAAGATGTTCCATTAGGGGGGTCCACGTTTCGCAAGCGTAGAGAAGGGAGGGAATGACCGTGGCCGAGAAGACCTGAAGCTTAGTGCGGAGCGACAGACCAGGTAGCTTCCACACAGCGTTACGCAACCGATGAAAAGATATTGCCGCTCGACTGATTCGGAGTGAGACCTCTGCTGTTAAACTGGAGCCAGTCATAAGCACACTGCCCAGGTATGGGAAACTCTCCACTCTCTCCACAACTGCCCCATCACCGATTGGGAGTTATGGGGGTGGAGTGTCCGATGGTACAAAATACCCAGGCAGGTGCTTAGTTTTGGTGGGGCTGATGGTAAGGCCCCACCTCTTAGTGGCACGCTCCAGTCTCAGCAGCAGCGTCTCCAACTCCTCCTCTGACTGAGCAGCTATTACCAAGTCATCAGCATACATAACGTGGTTGAGCAATAGGGAGCCATCCCTTGACCGCACCCAGGCATCGATCAGCCTCCCATTATATCTGTACCATATGGAGATTCCCCCGGTACAGCTATTGAAGGCTTCACGAACTACGTGGTCAAAATAGATGTTACATAATGTGGGAGCCAGAGGACATCCCTGTCGCACACACACACAGACACACACACAGACACACACACAGACACACACACAGACACACACAGACACACACACCTACACACACACACACAGACACACACACACACAGACAGACACAGACACACACACACACACAGACACACACACAGACACACACACCTACACACACACACAGACACACACACACACAGACACACACACACAGACACACACACAGACACACACACAGACACACAGACACACACACACAGACACAGACACACACACACACACAGACACACACACACAGACACACACACACACACAGACACACAGACACACACAGACACACACATACACACACACAGACACACACACACAGACACACACACACAGACACACACACAGACGAAGGTGCTCCGTGTAGCCTGCAGTGTCGTAGGGGCAAGTTCTATAGCAAGGTGGGGGGGTAGCAAGGTGGGGGGGTAGCAAGGTGGGGGGGTAGCAAGGTGGGGGGTAGCAAGGTGGGGGGTAGCAAGGTGGGGGGGTAGCAAGGTGGGGTGGTAGCAAGGTGGGGGGGTAGCAAGGTGGGGGGGGTAGCAAGGTGGGGGGTAGCAAGGTGGGGGGTAGCAAGGTGGGGGGTAGCAAGGTGGGGGGTAGCAAGGTGGGGGGTAGCAAGGTGGGGGGTAGCAAGGTGGGGGGTAGTGGGGGGAACTCACTTGAGGATGATCCTGAAGAGCAGTGCCGTCGTTACGATCACGAAGTTCCCAAGCAGCACAGCTACCGCCTGGGGGAGGGGTGGGGGGAGGGGTGGGGGGGTGAGTGGGTGGGTGGGTGGAGGGGTGGGTGGGTGAGTGGGTGGGTGAGTGGGTGGGTGGGTGAGAGGGTGGGTGGGTGAGAGAGCGTGGGTGGGTGAGAGGGTGGGTGGGTGGGTGAGTGAGAGGGTGGGTGGGTGAGTGAGGGTGAGTGGGTGGGTGAGTGGGTGGGTGAGTGGGTGGGTGAGTGGGTGGGTGAGTGAGGGTGAGTGGGTGGGTGGGTGAGGGTGAGTGGGTGGGTGAGTGGGTGGGTGGGTGAGTGGGTGGGTGGGTGAGTGAGTGGGTGAGAGGGTGGGTGGGTGGGGGGGTGAGTGGGTGGGTGAGAGGGTGGGTGAGTGGGTGGGTGGGTGAGGGTGAGTGGGTGGGTGAGAGGGTGGGTGGGTGACTGGGTGGGTGAGAGGGTGGGTGCGTGAGAGGGTGAGTGGGTGGGTGGGTGGGTGAGTGGGTGGGTGAGTGGGTGGGTGAGAGGGTGGGTGGGTGGGTGGGTGGGTGAGAGGGTGGGTGGGTGGGTGAGAGGGTGGGTGGGTGGGTGAGAGGGTGAGTGGGTGGGTGAGTGGGTGGGTGAGTGCGTGGGTGGGAGGGTGAGTGGGTGGGTGAGTGGGTGGGTGAGTGGGTGAGAGAGTGGGTGAGTGGGTGAGAGGGTGGGTGGGTGAGAGGGTGGGTGGGTGAGAGGGTGGGTGGGTGAGAGGGTGGGTGTGTGAGAGGGTGAGTGGGTGAGAGGGTGAGTGGGTGGGTGAGTGAGTGGGTGAGAGGGTGAGTGGGTGAGTGAGTGGGTGAGAGGGTGAGTGGGTGGGTGAGAGGGTGGGTGAGTGGGTGGGTGGATGAGAGGTTGAGTGGGTGGGTGGGTGAGTGGGTGGGTGGGTGAGTGAGTGGGTGAGTGGGTGAGTGAGTGAGTGGGTGAGTGGTTGAGTGGGTGGGTGCGTGAGTGGGTGAGTGAGTAGTTGGGTGAGTGAGTGGTTGAGTGGGTGGGTGGGTGGGTGAGTGAGTGGGTGAGTGGTTGAGTGAGTGGGTGAGTGAGTGGTTGAGTGGGTGAGTGAATGGGTGAGTGAGTAAGTGGTTGAGTGGGTGGGTGAGTGAGTGGGTGAGTGGGTGAGTGGGTGGGTGAGTGGGTGAGTGGGTGAGTGGGTGAGTGAGTGGTTGAGTGAGTGGATGATTGAGTGAGTGAGTGGGTGAGTGAGTGAGTGGGTGAGTGAGTGAGTGGGTGAGTGAGTGAGTGGGTGAGTGAGTGAGTGGGTGAGTGAGTGAGTGAGTGGGTGAGTAAGTGAGTGAGTGGGTGAGTGAGTGAGTGGGTGCGTGAGTGAGTGGTTGAGTGGGTGAGTGAGTGGGTGAGTGGGTGAGTGAGTGGGTGAGTGAGTGAGTGGGTGAGTGAGTGAGTGAGTGGGTGAGTAAGTGAGTGGGTGGGTGAGTGAGTGAGTGAGTGGGTGAGTGAGTGGGTGAGTGGGTGAGTGGGTGAGTGAGTGGGTGAGTGAGTAAGTGAGTGAGTGGGTGAGTGAGTGAGTGGGTGCGTGAGTGAGTGGTTGAGTGGGTGAGTGAGTGGGTGAGTGAGTGGTTGAGTGGGTGAGTGAGTGGGTGAGTGAGTGGTTGAGTGGGTGAGTGAGTGGGTGAGTGAGTGAGTGAGTGGTTGAGTGGTTGAGTGGGTGGCTGGCACAAACCAACCCCCTAACCTGCTCGTGGTGCCCGCCGGCAACGCTGTGGTGAGCAGTGCCGTGGGGGGGGGAGGGCCAACTCAGATTTGCCATTCCTCTCCGTGGCGTTTGTAGCCACCACAGCGGCCAAACGGGGGGGGGCTCTGGACGGGTGCGAGGGGCTGGCCAACCCCTCCGCCTTCAATTTAATGACCACAAAACCGACGCCAAAGGTTGTGCCGGAGGCCCCGGGGTGAGGGTGGACAGGCGTCAGTGACGTCGCCTGGCGACAACCCCAATTGGCGGAGCCAGGAGACTGAATCTCTACCCTCGGGGCTCCTCCAGAAACAACGAAAAGCCACTTCGTGTGGCCACGTGGGAATGTTCGAACGCTCACTGCGGAGGAGAGGCTGCCGCTCCTCTGTCGGGAGCTGGACCGGTACCGCCTGGATGTCTGCGGCATTCAGGAGGTCCGGTGGACCGGTTCTGGCTCCTGCCACCATGAGGGGTGGACAGTCCTCTACTCGGGGCAGGAGACTGCCAAACAACAGGGTGTGGCTCTTCTGAATAAACTAATGAAGGGGGCGTGGGAACATGGCGGTGAGGTGTGGGAAGCTGTAAGCCCCGGGCTACTTTGGGCTCGCCTTGCCATCAACCGGAGGCGAGGAGTGGTTGTGGTCATGGTTACTTATGCCCCCACCGAAGACGAACATCCGTGGAGGGATGCAGGCAAAGCCGATGAGTCAGATGCCTTCTATGACCTCCTGTCACAGGTGGTGGCTAAAGTGGCCCCTCAGGATAGAGTCATCTTGTTGGGTGACTTCAATGCCCGAGTTGGTCATGATGCTGGCACCTGGTCTGGAGTGATTGGAGGGCATGGGCCAGATCAGCTCAATAACAACGGTAGGAGGCTGCTAGATTTTTGTGCAGCCCATGGGCTTGTAATTAGCAACACGCTTTTCCGACATCAGCACATCCACACAACATCATGGATGCATGCCGGGTCCAAGCAAGAACATCTGCCGGACTACATAGTGACGGACCAGCGGATGCGGGCCCATGTTCTTCACACCAGGACCTACCGTGGAGATGATTTGCCCACTGACCATCGACTTGTCATCTGTAAAATGTGCCTGCCATTCTTCCACTCCGGTGGTGGGTGTACACCCAGGACCCCATTCAGACCCACAGTGGCCTGGTCTCAGCTAGCTGATGAAAGTTGCAAGCGAGACTTTCATCATCGCTTGCGGCTGGGATTGGCATCGTCCCCGACTCCTCCTGATGTCGAGGGTAAATGGGCAAGGTTTAGGACTGTGACTCATGCAGCTGCAATGGCTGCTTTGGGTACGCGGTCCAGACCTCCCCAGAGACCCTGGCAGACAGAGGAGGTGTTCAGGCTGGCTGAAAAAAAGCGACAGGCCCACTGTCATCGGCTACAGCATCCCACGTCGGAGAATGAGGAGGCTTCACGCAAGCCTTCGCTCGGAGGTTCGGAGAGCGGTGAGGCGCTGCAAGGATGGGTGGCGGTCGCGGGTTGCTGAGGAGATGGAGTCCGCCTCAGTGGCCCGCTCTTTAACTCCCGTAAAAATAATAAAACCTGCAGCGCCACATCCATTAACATCCTTCGGGGAAAGAACGGCGATCCGACCTCCGACCCCCCAGGAACAGGTTCGCAGATTTTGCTGAGCATTTCTGTGAGTTCGTGGGTGAGGGGAAACTCCTCAGCCAGGAAAACATCGTGGCACAAAGTGGGGATGGCCCTGCTGAGGCTGCGGTGCCTCAAATATTGGAAGAAGTCACCCCCTTGTGAGTGGCTGGGCTGAGGTGCCATCTGTTGAGGAAGTACTGAAGGAGATCCGGAGTCTCCGAGATCAGGAAAAGCGCCGGGCAGAGATGATCTCCCGAGCAAGAACATCTCCCAAGCGAGATGATCTCCCAAGCGAGATCATCTCCCAAGCGAGATCATCTCCCAAGCGAGATCATCTCCCAAGCGAGATCATCTCCCAAGAGAGATTATCTCCCAAGCGAGATGATCTCCCAAGAGAGATGATCTCCCAAGCGAGATGATCTCCCAAGCGAGATCATCTCCCAAGAGAGATCATCTCCCAAGCGAGATGATCTCTCAAGTGATACGATCATCTTCCAAGCGAGATGATCTCCCAAGCGAGATGATCTCTCAAGTGATACGATCATCTTCCAAGCGAGATGATCTCCCAAGTGAGATGATCTCCCAAGCGAGATGATCTCCCAAGCGAGATGATCTCCCAATATTGGAGGGAGCAGTCACCCCCTGTGAGTAGCTGGGCTGAGGTGCCATCTGAGACCATCGTCTCCCAAGTGAGACCATCGTCTCCCGAGTGAGATGATCGTCTCCCGAGCGAGACCATCGTCTCCCGAGCGAGATGATCGTCTCCCAAGCGAGATGATCGTCTCCCAAGCGAGATGATCGTCTCCCAAGCGAGATGATCGTCTCCCAAGCGAGATGATCATCTCCCAAGTGAGATGATCGTCTTCCAAGCGAGACGATCATCTCCCAAGCGAGATGATCATCTCCCAAGTGAGATGATCGTCTTCCAAGGGAGACCATCATCTCCCGAGTGAGATGATCGTCTCCCGAGTGAGACCATCGTCTCCCAAGCGAGACCATCGTCTCCCAAGCAAGATGATCATCTCCCAAGTGAGATGATCGTCTCCCAAGTGAGATGATCGTCTCCCGAGCGAGATGATCGTCTCCCAAGCAAGATGATCGTCTCCCAAGTGAGACGATCATCTCCCGAGTGAGACCATCGTCTCCCGAGCGAGATGATCATCTCCCAAGCGAGATGATCATCTCCCAAGTGAGATGATCGTCTCCCAAGCGAGACCATCGTCTCCCAAGCGAGATGATCGTCTCCCGAGCGAGATGATCATCTCCCGAGGGAGGAGATCGTCTCCCGAGTGAGACCATCGTCTCCCGAGCGAGATGATGGTCTCCCGAGCGAGATGATCGTCTCCCAAGTGAGATGATCGTCTCCCGAGCGAGACCATCGTCTCCCAAGTGAGATGATCGTCTCCCGAGTGAGACCATCGTCTCCCGAGCGAGATGATGGTCTCCCGAGCGAGATGATCGTCTCCCGAGTGAGACCATCGTCTCCCGAGCGAGATGATGGTCTCCCGAGCGAGATGATCGTCTCCCAAGTGAGATGATCGTCTCCCGAGTGAGACCATCGTCTCCCAAGTGAGATGATCGTCTCCCGAGTGAGACCATCGTCTCCCGAGCGAGATGATCGTCTCCCAAGCGAGATGATCGTCTCCCAAGCGAGATGATCGTCTCCCAAGCGAGATGATCGTCTCCCAAGCGAGATGATCATCTCCCAAGTGAGATGATCGTCTTCCAAGCGAGACGATCATCTCCCAAGCGAGATGATCATCTCCCAAGGGAGATGATCGTCTTCCAAGGGAGACGATCGTCTCCCGAGGGAGACGATCGTCTCCCAAGTGAGACCATCATCTCCCGAGTGAGATGATCGTCTCCCGAGTGAGACCATCGTCTCCCAAGCGAGACCATCGTCTCCCAAGCGAGATGATCATCTCCCAAGTGAGATGATCGTCTCCCAAGTGAGATGATCGTCTCCCGAGCGAGATGATCGTCTCCCAAGCGAGATGATCGTCTCCCAAGTGAGACGATCATCTCCCGAGCGAGACCATCGTCTCCCGAGCGAGATGATCATCTCCCAAGCGAGATGATCATCTCCCAAGTGAGATGATCGTCTCCCAAGCGAGACCATCGTCTCCCAAGCGAGATGATCGTCTCCCGAGCGAGATGATCGTCTCCTGAGAGAGGAGATCGTCTCCCGAGTGAGACCATCGTCTCCCGAGCGAGATGATGGTCTCCCGAGCGAGATGATCGTCTCCCAAGTGAGATGATCGTCTCCCGAGCGAGACCATCGTCTCCCAAGTGAGATGATCGTCTCCCGAGTGAGACCATCGTCTCCCGAGCGAGATGATGGTCTCCCGAGCGAGATGATCGTCTCCAAAGTGAGATGATCGTCTCCCGAGTGAGACCATCGTCTCCCAAGACAGATGATCGTCTCCCGAGGGAGACCATCATCTCCCGAGCGAGATGATCTCCCCCCGAGGGAGATGATCGTCTTCCGAGCGAGATGATCTCCCCCCGAGCGAGACCATCGTCTCCCGAGCGAGATGATCGTCTCCCGAGTGAGATTATCTTCTCCCAAGTGAGATGATCGTCTCCCGAGGGAGACCATCGTCTCCCAAGTGAGATGATCTCCCCCCGAGCGAGACCATCGTCTCCCGAGTGAGACCATCATCTCCCGAGTGAGATGATCGTCTCCCGAGCGAGATGATCGTCTCCCGAGTGAGATGATCGTCTCCCGGGCGAGATGATCGTCTCCCAAGCGAGACCATCGTCTCCCGAGTGAGACCATCGTCTCCCGAGCGAGATGATGGTCTCCCGAGCGAGATGATCGTCTCCCAAGTGAGATGATCGTCTCCCGAGTGAGACCATCGTCTCCCAAGTGAGATGATCGTCTCCCAAGTGAGATGATCGTCTCCCGAGTGAGACCATCGTCTCCCAAGCAAGATGATCGTCTCCCGAGCGAGATGATCTCCCCCCGAGGGAGATGATCGTCTTCCGAGCGAGATGATCTCCCCCCGAGCGAGACCATCGTCTCCCGAGCGAGATGATCGTCTCCCGAGTGAGATGATCTTCTCCCAAGTGAGATGATCGTCTCCCGAGGGAGACCATCGTCTCCCAAGTGAGATGATCTCCCCCCGAGCGAGACCATCGTCTCCCGAGTGAGACCATCATCTCCCGAGTGAGATGATCGTCTCCCGAGCGAGATGATCGTCTCCCGAGTGAGATGATCGTCCCCCGAGCGAGACCATCGTCTCCCGAGTGAGACCATCATCTCCCGAGTGAGATGATCTCCCCCCGAGGGAGATGATGGTCTCCCGAGTGAGACCATCATCTCCCAAGCGAGACCATCGTCTCCCGAGCGAGATGATGGTCTCCCGAGTGAGACCATGGTCTCCCGAGCGAGACCATCATCTCCCCCCGAGGGAGACGATGCAGGGAGGGTGGCGTTTGTGCGTAGCCTGCTCCCAACGTGACGCCAGGACAACGGTGCGGACCAGCGGACGGTTTCCACAGGATTGGAAGGAGGTGGTAGAGGAGGAGGTGGTGGAGGTGGTGGTGGTGGTAGAGGTGGTGGTGGTGGTAGATGAGGAGGTGGTGGAGGTGTTGGTGGTAGAGGTGGGAGATGAGGAGGTGGTAGAGGTGGTAGATGAGGAGGTGGTGGTAGAGGTGGTAGACGAGGTGGTGGTGGTAGATGAGGTGGTGGTGGTGGTGGTGGTAGATGTGGTGGTGGTAGAGGTGGTGGTGGTAGACGTGGTGGTAGAGGTGGTAGAGGTAGTGGTGGTAGAGGTGGTAGATGAGGAGGTGGTGGTAGAGGTGGTAGACGAGGTGGTGGTGGTAGATGAGGTGGTGGTGGTGGTGGTAGATGTGGTGGTGGTAGACGTGGTGGTAGAGGTGGTAGATGTGGTGGTGGTGGTAGAGGTGGTGGTGGTAGACGTGGTAGAGGTGGTAGAGGTAGTGGTGGTAGAAGTGGTGGTGGTAGAGGTGGTAGAGGAGGTGGTAGTAGAGGTAGTGGTGGTAGAGGTGGTAGAGGAGGTGGTGGTGGTAGAGGTGGTGGTGGTGGTAGAGGTAGTGGTGGTAGAGGTGGTAGAGGAGGTGGTAGAGGTGGTGGTGGTAGAGGTGGTGGTAGAGGTGGTAGAGGTTGTGGACGAGGTGGTGGTGGTATACGAGGTGGTAGAGGAGGTGGTAGAGGATGAGGTAGACGAGGTGGTGGTAGAGGTGGTAGAGGTGGTAGACGAGGTGGTGGTAGACGAGGTGGTAGAGGATGAGGAGGTAGATGAGGAGGAGGTAGACGAGGAGGTGCCCACCGGGTGCAGCAGAGCGACGACGTAGAAGGCGACGAGGTTGTCTACACAGTAGAGGAAGCCCGGCACTGCCCAGCGAAGCGTCGTCACCAACTCTCGCAGAGAGCGGACACAGCCACACAGCTCACGTAGTGGGCGGGCATCTAGGGTGGGTGGGTGGGTGGTGGGTGGGTGGGTGAGTGGGTGGGTGGGTGAGTGGGTGGGTGAGTGGGTGAGTGAGTGGGTGAGTGAGTGGGTGAGTGGGTGGGTGGGTGGGTGAGTGAGTGGGTGGGTGAGAGGGTGGGTGGGTGAGAGGGTGGGTGGGTGAGAGGGTGGGTGGGTGAGAGGGTGGGTGGGTGGGTGAGAGGGTGGGTGGGTGGGTGAGAGGGTGGGTGGGTGGGTGAGAGGGTGGGTGGGTGGGTGAGAGGGTGGGTGGGTGGGTGGGTGAGAGAGTGGGTGGGTGGGTGGGTGAGTGAGTGAGTGAGTGGGTGAGTGGGTCGGTGGGTGGGTGGGTGTGTGAGTGGGTGGGTGAGTGAGTGGGTGGGTAAGTGAGTGGGTGGGTGGGTGAGTGGGTAGGTGGGTGAGTGGGTGAGTGGGTGAGTGAGTGGGTGAGTGGGTGGGTGGGTGAGTGGGTGGGTGAGTGGGTGGGTGGGTGGGTGAGTGGGTGAGTGAGTGGGTGGGTGGGTGAGTGGGTGGGTGGGTGAGTGAGTGGGTGGGTGGGTGAGTGGGTGGGTGGGTGGGTGAGTGAGTGGGTGGGTGAGTGGGTGGGTGAGTGGGTGGGTGAGTGAGAGGGCGAGTGAGTGAGTGAGTGGGTGAGTGGGTGAGTGGGTGGGTGGGTGGGTGAGTGAGTGGGTGGGTGGGTGAGTGAGTGGGTGGGTGAGTGAGTGGGTGGGTGGGTGGGTGAGTGAGTGGGTGGGTGGGTGAGTGGGTGGGTGGGTGGGTGAGTGAGTGGGTGGGTGGGTGAGTGGGTGGGTGAGTGAGTGGGTGGGTGGGTGGGTGGGTGAGTGGGTGAGTGAGTGAGTGGGTGGGTGAGTGGGTGGGTGAGTGGGTGGGTGAGTGGGTGGGTGAGTGAGAGGGCGAGTGAGTGAGTGATTGGGTGAGTGGGTGAGTGGGTGGGTGGGTGAGTGAGTGGGTGAGTGGGTGGGTGGGTGGGTGAGTGAGTGGGTGGGTGAGTGAGTGGGTGGGTGGGTGGGTGAGTGGGTGAGTGAGTGGGTGGGTGGGTGGGTGAGTGGGTGAGTGAGTGGGTGGGTGGGTGGGTGAGTGAGTGAGTGGGTGAGTGGGTGGGTGAGTGAGTGAGTGAGTGGGTGGTGAGTGTGTGGGTGAGTGGGTGAGTGGGTGAGTGAGTGGGTGGGTGGGTGGTGGGTGGGTGGGTGGGTGAGTGAGTGGGTGAGTGAGTGGGTGGGTGAGTGGGTGAGTAGGTGGGTGGGTGAGTGGGTGGGTGAGTGGGTGGGTGAGTGGGTGGGTGAGTGGGTGGGTGGGTGAGTGGGTGAGTGAGTGGGTGAGTGGGTGGGTGGGTGGGTGAGTGGGTGGGTGGGTGGGTGGGTGAGTGGGTGAGTGAGTGGGTGAGTGAGTGGGTGGGTGGGTGAGTGAGTGGGTGGGTGGGTGGGTGGGTGAGTGAGTGAGTGGGTGGGTGGGTGGGTGGGTGGGTGAGAGGGTGGGTGGGTGAGTGAGTGGGTGAGTGGGTGGGTGAGTGAGTGGGTGGGTGAGTGGGTGGGTGAGTGGGTGAGTGAGTGGGTGAGTGAGTGGGTGAGTGGGTGGGTGGGTGGGTGAGTGAGTGGGTGGGTGAGTGAGTGGGTGGGTGAGAGGGTGGGTGGGTGAGAGGGTGGGTGGGTGAGAGGGTGGGTGGGTGGGTGAGAGGGTGGGTGGGTGGGTGAGAGGGTGGGTGGGTGAGAGGGTGGGTGGGTGGGTGAGAGAGTGGGTGGGTGGGTGGGTGAGTGGGTGAGTGAGTGGGTGAGTGGGTGGGTGGGTGGGTGAGTGAGTGGGTGGGTGAGTGAGTGGGTGGGTGAGAGGGTGGGTGGGTGAGAGGGTGGGTGGGTGAGAGGGTGGGTGGGTGAGAGGGTGGGTGGGTGGGTGGGTGAGAGGGTGGGTGGGTGGGTGAGAGGGTGGGTGGGTGGGTGGGTGAGAGAGTGGGTGGGTGGGTGGGTGAGTGAGTGAGTGAGTGGGTGAGTGGGTCGGTGGGTGGGTGGGTGTGTGAGTGGGTGGGTGAGTGAGTGGGTGGGAAAGTGAGTGGGTGGGTGGGTGAGTGGGTAGGTGGGTGAGTGGGTGAGTGGGTGAGTGAGTGGGTGAGTGGGTGGGTGGGTGAGTGGGTGGGTGAGTGGGTGGGTGGGTGGGTGAGTGGGTGAGTGAGTGGGTGGGTGAGTGAGTGGGTGGGTGGGTGAGTGAGTGGGTGGGTGGGTGAGTGGGTGGGTGGGTGGGTGAGTGAGTGGGTGGGTGAGTGGGTGGGTGAGTGGGTGGGTGAGTGAGAGGGTGAGTGAGTGAGTGAGTGGGTGAGTGGGTGAGTGGGTGGGTGGGTGAGTGAGTGGGTGGGTGGGTGAGTGAGTGGGTGGGTGAGTGAGTGGGTGGGTGGGTGGGTGAGTGAGTGGGTGGGTGGGTGAGTGGGTGGGTGGGTGGGTGAGTGAGTGGGTGGGTGGGTTAGTGGGTGGGTGAGTGAGTGGGTGGGTGGGTGGGTGAGTGAGTGAGTGGGTGGGTGAGTGGGTGGGTGAGTGGGTGGGTGAGTGGGTGGGTGAGTGAGAGGGCGAGTGAGTGAGTGATTGGGTGTGTGGGTGAGTGGGTGGGTGGGTGAGTGAGTGGGTGAGTGGGTGGGTGGGTGGGTGAGTGAGTGGGTGGGTGAGTGAGTGGGTGGGTGGGTGGGTGAGTGGGTGAGTGAGTGGGTGGGTGGGTGGGTGAGTGGGTGAGTGAGTGGGTGGGTGGGTGGGTGAGTGAGTGAGTGGGTGAGTGGGTGGGTGAGTGAGTGAGTGAGTGGGTGGTGGGTGAGAGGGTGGGTGAGTGAGTGGGTGGGTGAGTGGGTGGGTGGGTGAGTGGGTGAATGAGTGGGTGGGTGAGTGGGTGGCTGGGTGAATAGGTGGATGAGTGAGTTGGTGGATGAGTGAGTTGGTGGGTGGGTGAGTGGGTTTGTGGGTGAGAGGGTGGGTGGGTGAGAGGGTGGGTGGGTGGGTGGGTGAGAGGGTGAGTGGGTGGGTGAGAGGGTGGGTGGGTGGGTGAGTGAGTGAGTGGGTGAGTGGGTCGGTGGGTGGGTGGGTGGGTGAGTGGGTGGGTGGGTGGGTGAGTGGGTGAGTGGGTGGGTGGGTGAGTGGGTGAGTGGGTGGGTGAGTGGGTGAGTGGGTCGGTGGGTGGGTGGGTGGGTGAGTGGGTGGGTGGGTAGGTGAATGAGTGGGTGAGTGGGTGAGTGAGTGGGTGAGTGGGTGAGTGCGTGGTGAGTGGGTGAGTGAGCGGGTGAGTGACTGCGTGGGTGAGTGGGTGAGCGGGTGGTGAGCGGGTGGTGAGCGGGTGGTGAGCACCTCTGAGGAAGGTGTGGATGGTGAGTGGGTGAGTGCGTGGTGAGCGGGTGGTGAGCGGGTGGTGAGCACCTCTGAGGAAGGTGTGGATGGTGAGTGAGTGAGTGGGTGAGTGAGTGGGTGAGTGAGTGGGTGAGTGAGCGGGTGAGTGAGTGGGTGAGTGAGTGGGTGAGTGAGTGGGTGAGTGAGCGGGTGAGTGAGTGGGTGAGTGAGCGGGTGAGTGAGTGGGTGAGTGAGTGGGTGAGTGAGTGGCTGCGTGAGTGCGTGGTGAGCGGGTGGTGAGCGGGTGGTGAGCACCTCTGAGGAAGGTGTGGATGGTGAGTGGGTGAGTGAGCGGGTGAGTGACTGAGTGGGTGAGTGCGTGAGTGAGTGGGTGAGCGGGTGGTGAGCGGGTGGTGAGCGGGTGGTGAGCACCTCTGAGGAAGGTGTGGATGGTGAGTGGGTGAGTGAGCGGGTGAGTGGGTGAGTGAGCGGGTGAGTGAGTGGGTGAGTGAGTGGGTGAGCGGGTGGTGAGCGGGTGGTGAGCGGGTGGTGAGCGGGTGGTGAGCGGGTGGTGAGCGGGTGGTGAGCACCTCTGAGGAAGGTGTGGATGGTGAGTGGGTGAGTGAGCGGGTGAGTGACTGCGTGGGTGAGCGGGTGGGTGAGTGGGTGAGTGAGTGGCTGCGTGAGTGCGTGGTGAGCGGGTGGTGAGCGGGTGGTGAGCGGGTGGTGAGCGGGTGGTGAGCACCTCTGAGGAAGGTGTGGATGGTGAGCACCAGGCACACAATCAGCTTCAGGCCTTCGGCTGCGAGGTTGACGCTGGCCGGGAGGAACTCGAAGCCACCTTGACACAGACAAAGGTGTCACCACAGGTAGCCCACGCAGGGAGATGCGGGCAAGTGCAGTTAGTGGTGTAGTGTATAGTGTAGTGTATAGTGTAGTGTAGTGTATAGTGTAGTGTGTAGCGTAGTGGTGTAGTGTATAGTGTAGTGTATAGTGTGTAGTGGTGTAGTGTATAGTGTAGTGTGTAGTGGTGTAGTGTATAGTGTAGTGTATAGTGTAGTGTATAGTGTATAGTGGTGTAGTGTAGTGTATAGTGTAGTGTATAGTGGTGTAGTGTAGTGTATAGTAGTGTAGTGTATAGTAGTGTAGTGTATAGTAGTGTATAGTGTATAGTGGTATAGTGTAGTGTATAGTGTAGTGTATAGTAGTGTATGGTAGTGTAGTGTATAGTAGTGTATAGTGTAGTGTATAGTGTAGTGTATAGTAGTGTAGTGTATAGTGGTGTAGTGTATAGTAGTGTATAGTGTAGTGTATAGTGGTATAGTGTATAGTAGTGTATAGTGTATAGTAGTGTAGTGTATAGTGGTGTAGTGTATAGTGGTGTAGTGTATAGTGGTGTAGTGTATAGTGTAGTGTATAGTGGTATAGTAGTGTAGTGTATAGTAGTGTATAGTGTACAGTAGTGTAGTGTATAGTGTAGTGTATAGTAGTGTAGAGTATAGTGGTGTAGTGTATATTAGTGTAGTGTAGAGTGGTGTGTTGTAGTGTAGTGTATAGTGTAGTGTAGTAGTGTAGTGTGTATAGTGTAGTGTATAGTAGTGTAGTGTATAGTGGTGTGTTGTAGTGTAGTGTATAGTGTAGTGTACAGTAGTGTAGTGTGTATAGTGTAGTGTATAGTAGTGTAGTGTATAGTTGTGTAGTGTATAGTGTAGTGTATAGTGTAGTGTATAGTTGTGTAGTGTAGAGTGGTGTGTTGTAGTGTAGTGTATAGTGTAGTGTAGTAGTGTAGTGTATAATGTAGTGTATAGTAGAGTAGTGCATCATAGTGTAGTGTATAGTAGTGTAGTGTATAGTGGTGTGTTGTAGTGTAGTGTATAGTGTAGTGTATAGCAGTGTAGTGTATAGTGTAGTGTATAGTGTAGTGTATAGTGTAGTGTATAGTGTAGTGTATAGTGTAGTGTACAGTAGTGTAGTGTATAGTGTAGTGTATAGTGTAGTGTATAGTGTAGTGTACAGTAGTGTATAGTGTAGTGTATAGTGTAGTGTATAGTGTAGTGTACAGTACTGTATAGTGTAGTGTATAGTGTAGTGTATAGTAGTGTAGTGTATAGTAGTGTAGTGTATAGTGGTGTGTTGTAGGGTAGTGTATAGTGTAGTGTATAGCAGTGTAGTGTATCGTGGTGTAATTTTGTGTAAAGTGGTACATTGTACAGTAGTGGTGTATTTTAGCGAAGTTTATAGTAATAAAGTGTATAGTAGTGTAGTGTATTGGGTAGTGTAAAGTGTTGTGTAGTGTATAATGTAGTGAGTGAGTGGCTGGGTGAGTGGGTGAGTGAGTGGCTGGGTGAGTGAGTGGCTGGGTGAGTGAGTGGCTGAGTGTGTGGGTGAGTGAGTGACTGGGTGAGTGAGTGACTGGGTGAGTGAGTGGGTGAGTAAGTAGGTGGCTGAGTGGGTGAGTGAGTGAGTGGCTGGGTGAGTGGGTGAGTAAGTAGGTGGGTGAGTGAGTGGGTGAGTGAGTGGCTGGGTGAGTGGGTGAGTGAGTGGGTGAGTGGGTGAGTGGGTGAGTGAGTGAGTGGGTGAGTGGGTGAGTGAGTGGGTGGGTGAGTGGGTGAGTAAGTAGGTGGGTGAGTGGGTGAGTAAGTAGGTGGGTGAGTGAGTGGGTGAGTGAGTGGCTGGGTGAGTGGGTGAGTGAGTGGGTGAGTGAGTGGCTGGGTGAGTCCGTAGCTGAGTGTGTGGGTGAGTAAGTAGGTGGGTGAGTGGGTGAGTGGGTGAGTGGCTGGGTGAGTGGGTGAGTGAGTGTGTGAGTGGGTGAGTAAGTAGTTGGGTGAGTGGGTGAGTGAGCGAGTGGCTGGGTGAGTGAGCGAGCGAGCGAGCACGTGGCTGGGTGAGCGAGTGGCTGGGTGACTGAGTGGGTGAGTGGGTGAGTGGCTGGGTGAGTGGCTGAGTGAGTGGGTGAGTAAGTAGGTGGGTGAGCGGGTGAGTGAGTGAGTGGCTGGGTGAGTGAGTAGGTGGGTGAGTGAGTGGGTGAGTGGGTGAGTGGGTGGGTGAGCGAGTGGCTGGGTGAGTGGGTGAGTGGGTGAGTGAGCGAGTGGCTGGGTGAGCGAGTGGCTGGGTGAGTGAGTGGGTGAGTAAGTAGGTGGGCGAGTGAGTGGCTGGGTGAGTGGGTGAGTGAGCGAGTGGCTGGGTGAGTGGGTGAGTGAGCGAGCGAGCGAGTGGCTGGGTGAGCGAGTGGCTGGGTGAGTAAGTAGGTGAGTGAGCGAGTGGCTGGGTGAGCGAGTGGCTGGGTGAGTGGGTGGGTGAGTAAGTAGGTGGGTGAGTGAGTGGCTGGGTGAGTGGGTGACTGCGTGGGCGAGTAAGTAGGTGGGTGAGCGAGTGGCTGGGTGAGTGGGTGAGTGGGTGAGTGAGCGAGTGGCTGGGTGAGCGAGTGGCTGGGTGAGTGAGTGGGTGAGTAAGTAGGTGGGCGAGTGAGTGGCTGGGTGAGTGGGTGAGTGAGCGAGTGGCTGGGTGAGTGGGTGAGTGAGCGAGCGAGCAAGTGGCTGGGTGAGCGAGTGGCTGGGTGAGTAAGTAGGTGAGTGAGCGAGTGGCTGGGTGAGCGAGTGGCTGGGTGAGTGGGTGGGTGAGTAAGTAGGTGGGTGAGTGAGTGGCTGGGTGAGTGGGTGACTGCGTGGGTGAGTAAGTAGGTGGGTGAGCGAGTGGCTGGGTGAGTGGGTGAGTGGGTGAGTGAGCGAGTGGCTGGGTGAGCGAGTGGCTGGGTGAGTGAGTGGGTGAGTAAGTAGGTGGGCGAGTGAGTGGCTGGGTGAGTGGGTGAGTGAGCAAGTGGCTGGGTGAGTGGGTGAGTGAGCGAGCGAGCAAGTGGCTGGGTGAGCGAGTGGCTGGGTGAGTAAGTAGGTGAGTGAGCGAGTGGCTGGGTGAGCGAGTGGCTGGGTGAGTGGGTGGGTGAGTAAGTAGGTGGGTGAGTGAGTGGCTGGGTGAGTGGGTGACTGAGTGGGTGAGTAAGTAGGTGGGTGAGCGAGTGGCTGGGTGAGTGGGTGAGTGGGTGGGTGAGCGAGTGGCTGGGTGAGCGAGTGGCTGGGTGAGTGAGTGGGTGAGTAAGTAGGTGGGCGAGTGAGTGGCTGGGTGAGTGGGTGAGTGAGCGAGTGGCTGGGTGAGTGGGTGAGTGAGCGAGCGAGCAAGTGGCTGGGTGAGCGAGTGGCTGGGTGAGTAAGTAGGTGAGTGAGCGAGTGGCTGGGTGAGCGAGTGGCTGGGTGAGTGGGTGGGTGAGTAAGTAGGTGGGTGAGTGAGTGGCTGGGTGAGTGGGTGACTGCGTGGGTGAGTAAGTAGGTGGGTGAGCGAGTGGCTGGGTGAGTGGGTGAGTGGGTGAGTGAGCGAGTGGCTGGGTGAGCGAGTGGCTGGGTGAGTGAGTGGGTGAGTAAGTAGGTGGGCGAGTGAGTGGCTGGGTGAGTGGGTGAGTGAGCGAGTGGCTGGGTGAGTGGGTGAGTGAGCGAGCGAGCAAGTGGGGGGGTGAGCGAGTGGCTGGGTGAGTAAGTAGGTGAGTGAGCGAGTGGCTGGGTGAGCGAGTGGCTGGGTGAGTGGGTGGGTGAGTAAGTAGGTGGGTGAGTGAGTGGCTGGGTGAGTGGGTGACTGCGTGGGTGAGTAAGTAGGTGGGTGAGCGAGTGGCTGGGTGAGTGGGTGAGTGGGTGAGTGAGCGAGTGGCTGGGTGAGTGAGTGGCTGGGTGAGTGAGTGGGTGAGTAAGTAGGTGGGCGAGTGAGTGGCTGGGTGAGTGGGTGAGTGAGCAAGTGGCTGGGTGAGTGGGTGAGTGAGCGAGCGAGCAAGTGGCTGGGTGAGCGAGTGGCTGGGTGAGTAAGTAGGTGAGTGAGCGAGTGACTGGGTGAGCGAGTGGCTGGGTGAGTGGGTGGGTGAGTAAGTAGGTGGGTGAGTGAGTGGCTGGGTGAGTGGGTGACTGAGTGGGTGAGTAAGTAGGTGGGTGAGCGAGTGGCTGGGTGAGTGGGTGAGTGGGTGAGTGAGCGAGTGGCTGGGTGAGCGAGTGGCTGGGTGAGTGAGTGGGTGAGTAAGTAGGTGGGCGAGTGAGTGGCTGGGTGAGTGGGTGAGTGAGCGAGTGGCTGGGTGAGTGGGTGAGTGAGCGAGCGAGTAAGTGGCTGGGTGAGCGAGTGGCTGGGTGAGTAAGTAGGTGAGTGAGCGAGTGGCTGGGTGAGCGAGTGGCTGGGTGAGTGGGTGGGTGAGTAAGTAGGTGGGTGAGTGAGTGGCTGGGTGAGTGGGTGGGTGAGTGGGTGAGTAAGTAGGTGGGTGAGCGAGTGGCTGGGTGAGTGGGTGAGTGGGTGAGTGAGCGAGTGGCTGAGTGAGCGAGTGGCTGGGTGAGTGAGTGGGTGAGTAAGTAGGTGGGCGAGTGAGTGGCTGGGTGAGTGGGTGAGTGAGCGAGTGGCTGGGTGAGTGGGTGAGTGAGCGAGCGAGCAAGTGGCTGGGTGAGCGAGTGGCTGGGTGAGTAAGTAGGTGGGTGAGTGAGTGGCTGGGTGAGCGAGTGGCTGGGTGAGTGAGTGGGTGAGTAAGTAGGTGGGTGAGTGAGTGGCTGGGTGAGTGGGTGACTGAGTGGGTGAGTAAGTAGGTGGGTGAGCGAGTGGCTGGGTGAGTGGGTGAGTGGGTGGGTGAGTAAGTGGCTGGGTGAGCGAGTGGCTGGGTGAGTGGGTGGGTGAGTAAGTAGGTGGGTGAGTGAGTGGCTGGGTGAGTGGGTGGGTGAGTGAGTGGCTGGGTGAGTGAGTAAGTAGGTGGGTGAGTGGGTGAGTGAGTGGGTGAGTGGGTGAGTGAGCGAGTGGCTGGGTGAGTGAGCGAGCAAGTGGCTGGGTGAGCGAGTGGCTGGGTGAGTGAGTGGGTGAGTGAGTGGCTGGGTGAGTGGGTGACTGAGTGGGTGAGTAAGTAGGTGGCTGGGTGAGTGGGTGAGTGAGTGGGTGAGTAAGTGGGCGAGCAGGCGGGCGAGTGAGCCAGGCACTCACCGCTGCTGGACGACATCTTGATGAGAAGCACGCGACTGGAGGAGAGGCTCACGTAGATGGCTCCCAGAGCCAGGGCTCTGAGCCAGGGGGGTCCATACCCCCACTGGGAGGGTCTGCTGTACCCCCACACTCGGCAACAGGAGCCCATAGCCACCACCACCACCACACCACCACCACCACTCCACCACCACACCACCACCACCACACCACCACCACCACCACACCTCCACCACCACTCCAACACCACCACCACACCACCACCACCACTCCACCACCACTACCACCACTACACCACCACTCCACCACCACCACCACTCCACCACCACCACCACTACACCACCACCACCACTCCACCACCACCACACCACCACCACTACTACACCACCACCACCACACCACCACTACCACACCACCACCACCACACCACCACCACCACCACACCACCACCACACCACCGACCTTGGGGGTTGGAACCTACGGCTGGTGGGGATAGGGGGGAGGAGATTGAGCGGAGAGATGGGATCAACAAGTGGATTTGTGGGAGGGTGCGTGGATGAGTGGGTGGGTGAGTGGGTGGGTGAGTGGGTAGGTGAGTGGGTAGGTGGGTGAGTGGGTAAGTGGGTGAGTGGGTAGGTGGGTCAGTGGGTAGGTGGGTAAGTGGGTAGGTGGGTGAGTGGGTGAGTGGGTAGGTGGGTGAGTGGGTAGGTGGGTGAGTGGGTAGGTGGGTCAGTGGGTAGGTGGGTGAGTGGGTAGGTGGGTGAGTGGGTAGGTGGGTCAGTGGGTATGTGGGTGAGTGGGTAGGTGGGTGAGTGGGTAGGTGGGTGAGTGGGTAGTTGGGTAGGTGGATGAGTGGGTTGGTGGGTGACTGGGTAGGTGGGTGAATGGGTAGGTGGGTCAGTGGGTAGGTGGGTGAGTGGGTGAGGGCGTGGGTGTGAGGGTGGGTGAGTGGGTTGGTGGGTGAGTGGGTAGGTGGATGAGTGGGTAGGTGGGTGAGTGGGTAGGTGGGTGAGTGGGTTGGTGAATGGGTAGGTGGGTGAGTGGGTAGGTGAGTGAGTGGGTAGGTGGGTGAGTGGGTTGGTGGGTGAGTGGGTAGGTGGGTGAATGGGTAGGTGGGTCAGTGGGTAGGTGGGTGAGTGCGTGGGTGTGCGGGTGGGTGAGTGGGGAGGTGGGTGAGTGGGTTGGTGAATGGGTAGGTGGGTGATTGGGTAGGTGAGTGAGTGGGTAGGTGGGTGAGTGGGTTGGTGGGTGAGTGGGTAGGTGGGTGAATGGGTAGGTGGGTCAGTGGGTAGGTGGGTGAGTGGGTAGGTGGGTCAGTGGGTAGGTGGGTGAGTGAGTGCGTGGGTGAGCGGGTAGGTGGGTGAGTGGGTGAGTGGGTGGGTGAGGGAGTTGGTGAGTGGGTAGGTGGGTGAGTGGGTGAGTGGGCAGGTGGGTGAGTGGGTAGGTGGGTGAGTGGGTGTGTGGGTAGGTGGGTGAGTGGGTAGGTGAGTGAGTTGGTGGGTGGGTGAGTGGGTAGGTGGGTGAGTTGGTGGGTGAGTGGGTGGGTGAGTGGGTAGGTGGCTGAGAGGGTGACTGAGTGGATAGGTGAGTGGGTAGGTGGGTGAGTGGGTAGGTGGGTGAGTGGGTTGGTGAATGGGTAGGTGAATGGGTAGGTGGGTGAGTGGGTAGGTGGGTGAGTGGGTAGGTGGGTGAGTGGGTTGGTGAATGGGTAGGTAGGTGAGTGGGTAGGTGGGTGAGTGGGTAGGTGGGTGAGTGGGTAGGTGGGTGAATGGGTAGGTGGGTCAGTGGGTAGGTGGGTGAGTGGGTTGGTGGGTGAGTGGGTAGGTGGGTGAATGGGTAGGTGGGTCAGTGGGTAGGTGGGTGAGTGCGTGGGTGTGCGGGTGGGTGAGTGGGTAGGTGGGTGAGTGGGTAGGTGGGTGAGTGGGTTGGTTAATGGGTAGGTGGGTGAGTGGGTAGGTGGGTGACTGGGTAGGTGGGTGAGTGGGTAGGTGGGTGAGTGGGTTGGTGAATGGGTAGGTAGGTGAGTGGGTAGGTGGGTGAGTGGGTAGGTGGGTGAGTGGGTAGGTGAGTGAATGGGTAGGTGGGTGAGTGGGTAGGTGGGTGAGTGGGTTGGTGGGTGAGTGGGTAGGTGGGTGAATGGGTAGGTGGGTCAGTGGGTAGGTGGGTGAGTGCGTGGGTGTGCGGGTGGGTGAGTGGGTAGGTGGGTGAGTGGGTTGGTGAGTGGGTCGGTGGGTGAGTGGGTAGGTGGGTGAATGGGTAGGTGGGTGAGTGGGTAGGTGGGTGAGTGGGTTGGTGGGTGAGTGGGTTGGTGGGTGAGTGGGTAGGTGGGTGAATGGGTAGGTGGGTCAGTGGCTAGGTGGGTGAGTGGGTGGGTGGGTGGGGGAGTTGGTGAGTGGGTAGGTGGGTGAGTGGGTGAGTGGGCAGGTGGGTGAGTGGGTAGGTGGGTGAGTGGGTAGGTGGGTGAGTGGGTTGGTGAATGGGTAGGTGGGTGAGTGGGTAGGTGGGTGAATGGGTAGGTGGGTCAGTGGGTAGGTGGGTGAGTGGGTGCATGAGTGGGTTGGTGAGTGGGTAGGTGGGTGAGTGGGTAAGTGAGTGAGTTGGTTGGTGAGTGGGTAGGTGAGTGGGTAGGTGGGTGAGAGGGTGACTGAGTGGATAGGTGAGTGGGTAGGTGGGTGACTGGGTTGGTGAATGGGTGGGTGAGGGAGTTGGTGAGTGGGTAGGTGGGTGAGTGGGTGAGTGGGCAGGTGGGTGAGTGGGCAGGTGGGTGAGTGGGTAGGTGGGTGAGTGGGTAGGTGGGTGAGTGGGTTGGTGGGTGAGTGGGTAGGTGGGTCAGTGGGTGGGTGGGTGAGTGGGTGGGTGAGTGGGTGGGTGAGGGAGTTGGTGAGTGGGTAGGTGGGTGAGTGGGCAGGTGGGTGAGTGGGCAGGTGGGTGAGTGGGTAGGTGGGTGAGTGGGTTGGTGGGTGAGTGGGTAGGTGGGTGAGTGGGTTGGTGGGTGAGTGGGTTGGTGATTAGGTGGGTGAGTGGGTTGGTGGGTGAGTGGGTAGGTGGGTGAATGGGTAGGTGGGTCAGGGGGTTGGTGGGTGAGTGGGTGAGCGGGTGGGTCAGTGGGTAGGTGGGTGAGTGGGTGAGTGCGTGGGTGAGTGGGTAGGTGGGTGAGTGGGTTGGTGAATGGGTAGGTGGGTGAGTGGGTAGGTGGGTGAATGGGTAGGTGGGTTAGTGGGTAGGTGGGTGAGTGGGTGGATGAGTGGGTTGGTGAGTGGGTAGGTGGGTGAGTGGGTGGTTGAGTGGGTAGGTGGGTGAGAGGGTGACTGAGTGGATAGGTGAGTGGGTAGGTGGGTGAGTGGGTTGGTGAATGGGTTGGTGGATGGGTAGGTGGGTGAGTGGGTGGGTGAGTGGGTTGGTGAATGAGTAGGTGGGTGAGTGGGTAGGCGGGTGAGTGGGTGAGTAGGTAGGTGGGTGAGTGGGTAGGTGGGTGGGTGAGTGGGTGGGTGAGTGGGTAGGTGGGTGAGATGGTGGGTGAGTGGGTAGGTGGGTGAAAGGGTGACTGAGTGGATAGGTGAGTGGGTAGGTGGGTGAGTGGGTGGGTGAGTGGGTAGGTGAGTGGGTAGGTGGGTGAGTGGGTAGGTGGGTGGGTAGGTGGGTGAAAGGGTGACTGAGTGGATAAGTGAGTGGGTAGGTGGGTGAGTGGGTAGGTCGGTGAGTTGGTGGGTGAGTGGGTAGGTGAGTGGGTAGGTGGGTGAGTGGGTAGGTGGGTGAGTGGGTAGGTGGGTGGGTAGGTGGGTGAAAGGGTGACTGAGTGGATAGGTGAGTGGGTAGGTGGGTGAGTGGGTAGGTGGGTGAGTGGGTGAGTGGGTAGGTGGGTGAATGGGTAGGTGGGTCAGTGGGTAGGTGGGTGAGTGCGTGGGTGTGCAGGTGGGTGAGTGGGGAGGTGGGTGAGTGGGTTGGTGAATGGGTAGGTGGGTGATTGGGTAGGTGAGTGAGTGGGTAGGTGGGTGAGTGGGTTGGTGGGTGAGTGGGTAGGTGGGTGAATGGGTAGGTGGGTCAGTGGGTAGGTGGGTGAGTGCGTGGGTGAGCGGGTGGGCGAGTGGGTAGGTGGGTGAGTGAGTGCGTGGGTGAGCGGGTAGGTGGGTGAGTGGGTGGGTGAGTGGGTGGGTGAGGGAGTTGGTGAGTGGGTAGGTGGGTGAGTGGGTGAGTGGGCAGGTGGGTGAGTGAGTAGGTGGGTGAGTGGGTGAGTGGGTAGGTGGGTGAGTGGGTAGGTGAGTGAGTTGGTGGGTGGGTGAGTGGGTAGGTGGGTGAGTTGGTGGGTGGGTGGGTGGGTGAGTGGGTAGGTGGCTGAGAGGGTGACTGAGTGGATAGGTGAGTGGGTAGGTGGGTGAGTGGGTAGGTGGGTGAGTGGGTTGGTGGATGGGTAGGTGACTGGGTAGGTGGGTGAGTGGGTAGGTGGGTGAGTGGGTAGGTGGGTGAGTGGGTTGGTGTATGGGTAGGTAGGTGAGTGGGGAGGTGGGTGAGTGGGTAGGTGGGTGAGTGGGTAGGTGGGTGAATGGGTAGGTGGGTCAGTGGGTAGGTGGGTGAGTGGGTTGGTGGGTGAGTGGGTAGGTGGGTGAATGGGTAGGTGGGTCAGTGGGTAGGTGGGTGAGTGCGTGGGTGTGCGGGTGGGTGAGTGGGTAGGTGGGTGAGTGGGTAGGTGGGTGAGTGGGTTGGTTAATGGGTAGGTGGGTGAGTGGGTAGGTGGGTGACTGGGTAGGTGGGTGAGTGGGTAGGTGGGTGAGTGGGTTGGTGAATGGGTAGGTAGGTGAGTGGGTAGGTGGGTGAGTGGGTAGGTGGGTGAGTGGGTAGGTGAGTGAATGGGTAGGTGGGTCAGTGGGTAGGTGGGTGAGTGGGTTGGTGGGTGAGTGGGTAGGTGGGTGAATGGGTAGGTGGGTCAGTGGGTAGGTGGGTGAGTGCGTGGGTGTGCGGGTGGGTGAGTGGGTAGGTGGGTGAGTGGGTTGGTTAATGGGTAGGTGGGTGAGTGGGTAGGTGGGTGAGTGGGTAGGTGGGTGAGTGGGTAGGTGGGTGAGTGGGTTGGTGGGTGAGTGGGTTGGTGGGTGAGTGGGTAGGTGGGTGAATGGGTAGGTGGGTCAGTGGCTGGGTGGGTGAGTGGGTGGGTGGGTGGGGGAGTTGGTGAGTGGGTAGGTGGGTGAGTGGGTGAGTGGGCAGGTGGGTGAGTGGGTAGGTGGGTGAGTGGGTAGGTGGGTGAGTGGGTTGGTGAATGGGTAGGTGGGTGAGTGGGTAGGTGGGTGAATGGGTAGGTGGGTCAGTGGGTAGGTGGGTGAGTGGGTGCATGAGTGGGTTGGTGAGTGGGTAGGTGGGTGAGTGGGTAAGTGAGTGAGTTGGTTGGTGAGTGGGTAGGTGAGTGGGTAGGTGGGTGAGAGGGTGACTGAGTGGATAGGTGAGTGGGTAGGTGGGTGACTGGGTTGGTGAATGGGTGTGTGAGGGAGTTGGTGAGTGGGTAGGTGGGTGAGTGGGTGAGTGGGCAGGTGGGTGAGTGGGCAGGTGGGTGAGTGGGTAGGTGGGTGAGTGGGTAGGTGGGTGAGTGGGTTGGTGGGTGAGTGGGTAGGTGGGTCAGTGGGTAGGTGGGTGAGTGGGTGGGTGAGTGGGTGGGTGAGGGAGTTGGTGAGTGGGTAGGTGGGTGAGTGGGCAGGTGGGTGAGTGGGCAGGTGGGTGAGTGGGTAGGTGGGTGAGTGGGTAGTTGGGTGAGTGGGTAGGTGGGTGAGTGGGTTGGTGGGTGAGTGGGTTGGTGAATAGGTGGGTGAGTGGGTTGGTGGGTGAGTGGGTAGGTGGGTGAATGGGTCGGTGGGTCAGGGGGTTGGTGGGTGAGTGGGTGAGCGGGTGGGTCAGTGGGTAGGTGGGTGAGTGGGTGAGTGCGTGGGTGAGTGGGTAGGTGGGTGAGTGGGTTGGTGAATGGGTAGGTGGGTGAGTGGGTAGGTGGGTGAATGGGTAGGTGGGTTAGTGGGTAGGTGGGTGAGTGGGTGGATGAGTGGGTTGGTGAGTGGGTAGGTGGGTGAGTGGGTGGTTGAGTGGGTAGGTGGGTGAGAGGGTGACTGAGTGGATAGGTGAGTGGGTAGGTGGGTGAGTGGGTTGGTGAATGGGTTGGTGGATGGGTAGGTGGGTGAGTGGGTGGGTGAGTGGGTTGGTGAATGAGTAGGTGGGTGAGTGGGTAGGCGGGTGAGTGGGTGAGTAGGTAGGTGGGTGAGTGGGTAGGTGGGTGGGTGAGTGGGTGGGTGAGTGGGTAGGTGGGTGAGATGGTGGGTGAGTGGGTAGGTGGGTGAAAGGGTGACTGAGTGGATAGGTGAGTGGGTAGGTGGGTGAGTGGGTGGGTGAGTGGGTAGGTGAGTGGGTAGGTGGGTGAGTGGGTAGGTGGGTGGGTAGGTGGGTGAAAGGGTGACTGAGTGGATAAGTGAGTGGGTAGGTGGGTGAGTGGGTAGGTCGGTGAGTTGGTGGGTGAGTGGGTAGGTGAGTGGGTAGGTGCGTGAGTGGGTAGGTGGGTGAGTGGGTAGGTGGGTGGGTAGGTGGGTGAAAGGGTGACTGAGTGGATAGGTGAGTGGGTAGGTGGGTGAGTGGGTAGGTGGGTGAGTGGGTGAGTGGGTAGGTGGGTGAGTTGGTGGGTGAGTGGGTGGGTAGGTGGGTGAGTGGGTAGGTGGGTGAGTGGGTAGGTGGGTGAGTGAGTGGGTAGGTGAGTGGGTAGGTGGGTTGGGTAAGTGGGTAGGTGGGTGGGTGGGTGAGTTGGTGGGTGAGTGGGTAGGTGGGTGAGAGTGTGACTGAGTGGATAGGTGAGTGGGTTGAGTTGTGAGTGGGTGAATGCGTGATGTTGTTGATGTTAGTGATGATGATGTTGTTGATGTTAGTGATGATAGATGTGAGTGATGATGATGTTGTTGATGTTGTTGTTGTTATAGCGCTACCTGTAAGCCAACTGCAACCACCTCGTGGCCCGCCCCCTCCACGTGTCGTCACCTCCCACGTGGGCGTCAGCGGAGCTTCCGCCTGTTCAGTTCCGTGTTTATAAACGTCTACCCCCTCCGGAAGATCCCCATCGGCTGAGTGAAGACCTCGAAGCCCTTTGCGTAGTCCGTCTACCGTCTTCCGGAAGACATCCACCGTCTTCCAGAAGATATCTGGGAGCTTCCGGAAGAGGGCTACCGTCTTCCGGAAGATATCTACCGTCTTTCAGAAGACGTCTACCGTCTTCCGGAAGCTGTGCACCTCTTGCGACGGACGGTAGACACTTTCCGGAAGCTGGTAGACCTCTTCCAGAAGACCTCTGCCATCTTCCGGAAGACGTCTACCGTCTTCCGGGAAGAGAGATTTAGCTTCTTCCGGAAGAATACCACCGTCTTCCGTAAGACCTTGTACGTCTTCTGGAGGAGACCTCCAATATCTTCCGCTTCCGGAAGACTCGCGAACGCTTGCGTAAGACTCTACCTCTTCCGGAAGACGCACAACGCCGTCGCGTGACCGCAACCCCCCCAGCCACAGCCCCCCCCCCCCCCTTTGCCCCCAATGTGACTTTCTCTGACGTCACGCTCCCCCAACAACCTCCCCGCGCATGCGCAGAAGCTTCTGGAACCCCCCTCTCTCCCCCCTCCCCCCCCAGAGTCTATATAAGGCCGGGGGGAGGCCGTCCGAGTGGGTTCCCCGCCAAATCACCTCAAGGTGACTTCTCCATTGCACAGGAGAGGCCTCTCATCGCTCGCTCATCGCTCGCCCTCTGGGATATTTCGCCGCTTAAAGATGCCTCGCGGAAGCCGCAGCAGAACCTCAAGGGCGCCGGCGCCCGCCGCTCGGTAAAGACTTTCACCGCCACACGCGCTGCGTGAGGGGAAAGAGGGGTGGTAGGCCGCGACGCATCCTCGAGGGGGTACCGCTCTTGCCTAGTCGCGCTGCCCGGTGGAGGAGTGGCGGCCGCGGGCGTCGTTGGCCGGTGCTGTTGGGCTTCTAGGGTGGTAAGGGGGAAACATCGCCACTGAGAGAGATAGATAGAGAGAGACAAAGACGGCCCTGGCGTGGTGTGGATGCTGTGGTCACCCACTGGCGACAGAACTTGACAACCCCTCGCGGCCTATTTTTCAGGCTTACACGGGGGATCTTTGTGTGGCAGGGTGTACCTAGCCTGGTACATGAGCTTTGTGTGTGTGTGGCAGGGTGTACCTAGCCTGGTACATGAGCTGTGTGTTTGTGTGTGGCAGGGTGTACCTAGCCTGGTACATGATGGTGTACCTAGCCTGGTACATGAGCTGTGTGTGTGTGGCAGGATGTACCTAGCCTGGTACGTGAGCTGTGTGTGGCAAGGTGTACCTAGCCTGGTACATGAGCTCTGTGTGTTGCAGTGTGTACCTAGCCTGGTACATGAGCTATGTGTTTGTGTGGTAGGGTGTACCTAGCCTGGTACATGATCTGTGTGTGTGTGGTAGGGTGTACCTAGCCTGGTACATGAGCTGTGTGTGTGTGGCAGGGTGTACCTAGCCTGGTACATGAGGTGTGTTTGTGTGGCAAGGTGTACCTAGCCTGGTACATGAGCTGTGTGTGTGTGGCAGGGTGTACCTAGCCTGGTACATGAGCTGTGTGTGTGGCAAGGTGTACCTAGCCTGGTACGTGAGCTGTGTGTGTGTGGCAGGATGTACCTAGCCTGGTACATGAGCTGTGTGTGTGGCAAGGTGTACCTAGCCTGGCACATGAGCTGTGTGTTTGTGTGTGGCAGGGGGTACCTAGCCTGGTGCATGAGCTGTGTGTATGTCAGGGTGTACCTAGCCTGGTACATGAGCTGTGTGTGTATGTCAGGGTGTACCTAGCCTGGTACATGAGCTGTGTGTATGTCAGGGTGTACCTAGCCTGGTACATAAGCTGTGTGTGTATGTCAGGGTGTGCCTAGCCTGGTACATGAGCTGTGTGTGTGTGGCAGGGTGTACCTAGCCTGGTACATGAGCTGTGTGTGTGTGGCAGGGTGTAAGTGAATGGTGACACGTCACGTTGTGGGTTTGCTGTCCAACACAACCGGTGTGTGGCTGTATACGTACACTACACTGTACACTACACTCTACACTACACTATACACCACACTACTATACACTACACTATACACTACACTGTATACTACACTGTACACTACACTATACACTACACTATAAACTACACTACTATACACTACACCACAGAGACTCTGAGACACCCACAGAGTCCCACAGAGTCCCACAGAGTCCCACAGAGTCCCACAGAGTCCCACAGAGTCCCACAGAGTCCCACAGAGTCCCACATACCTGCAGATACCCACAGAGAGACACATACCCACACATACCCACACATACCCACACATACCCACACATACCCACAGAGACCCACACATACCCACAGACACCCACAGAGACCCACAGAGACCCACAGAGACCCACAGAGACCCACAGAGACCCACAGAGACCCACAGAGACCCACACATACCCACACATACCCACAGAGACCCACAGAGACCCACAGAGACCCACAGAGACCCACACATACCCACACATACCCACAGAGACCCACAGAGACCCACACATACCCACACATACCCACAGAGACCCACAGAGACCCACAGAGACCCACACTCACAGAGACCCACAGAGACCCACAGAGACCCACACACACCCACAGAGACCCACAGAGACCCACAGAGACCCATTCATACCCATTCATACCCATTCATACCCACAGAGACCCACATATACCCACATATACCCAAATATACCCACAGAGACCCACAGAGACCCACACTCGCAGACCTGTGCTGGTTTGAGCCGGGAAAGTCTGAGATAGCCGGAGAGCCTGGCAGTGACGAGTTAGACCGCAGCTGAGGTCGTACAGAGGTCACGGAGGGGGGGGGGGGGTCCGAGGGGTGACCCACGGCACCCGGCACACTACCTCTACCAGAGACTCACAGAGACCCATAGAGACCCATAGAGACCCATAGAGACACACAGAGACCCACAGAGACCCACAGAGACCCACAGAGACCCACAGAGACCCACAGAGACCCACAGAGACACACAGAGACACACAGAGACACACAGAGACCCACAGAGACCCACACTCTCAGAGACCCACACTCAGAGACCCACTCACAGAGACCCACACTCACAGAGACCCACACTCACAGAGACCCACACTCACAGAGACCCACACTCACAGAGACCCACACTCACAGAGACCCACAGAGACCCACACACACAGAGACCCACACACACAGAGACCCATAGAGACTCACACTCACAGAGACCCACACTCGCAGAGAGAGACCCATAGAGACCCACTCACAGAGACCCACACTCACAGAGACCCACACTCACAGAGACCCACACTCACAGAGACCCACACTCACAGAGACCCACACTCACAGAGACCCATAGAGACCCACACTCTCAGAGACCCACACTCAGAGACCCACTCACAGAGACCCACACACACAGAGACCCACACTCAAAGAGACCCACAGGGACCCACACTCACAGAGACCCACACTCACAGAGATCCATAGATACTCACACTCACAGAGACCCACACTCACAGAGACCCACACACAGAGAGAGACCCACAGAGACCCACACTCGCAGAGACCCACACTCGCAGAGACTCACAGAGACTCACACTCGCGGAGACCCACAGAGACCCACACTCACAGAGACCCACACTCACAGAGACCCACACTCACAGAGACCCACACTCACAGAGACCCACACTCACAGAGACCCATAGAGACCCATAGAGACCCACACTCACAGAGACCCACACTCACAGAGGACCCATAGATACCCACACTCACAGAGACCCACACACTCAGAGACCCATAGAGACCCACACTCACAGAGACCCACACACACAGAGACCCATAGAGACCCACACACACAGAGACCCATAGAGACCCGTACCCACAGCACCCGGCACATCACCTCCAACATTCTTTGTAGACTAAAATAACGAAGAGCCGTGGTGATCTTGCCGAGACTGGAATCCTCTCCTGCTAAGTCACCCTGACTTAGCACTCACCCAATCATCCACTCACCAACCCACCCACCAACCCACTCATCCACTCACCCCACCCACCAACCCACTCACTCACCCCACCCACCAACCCACTCATCCACTCACCCCACCCACCCACCCACCCACCCACCAACCCACTCACTCATCCAACTCACCCCACCCACCAACCCACCCACCAACCCACTCACCCACCAACTCACACACTCACCCATTCACCCACCAACCCACCCACCAACCCTCTCACCCACTCACCCACCCACTCATCCACTCACCCCACCCACCAACCCACCCACCAACCCACTCACCCACCAACCCACTCACTCACCCCAACCCACCAACCACTCACCCACCAACTTACTCACACAACAACTTACTCACCCACCAACTCACTCACCCACCAACCCACTCACCCACCAACTCACCCACCAACTCACTCACCCACCAACTTACTCACCCACCAACTTACTCACCCACCAACTCACTCACCCACCAACCCACTCACCCACCAACTCACCCACCAACTCACTCACCCACCAACTCACTCACCCACCAACTCACTCACCCACCAACTCACTCACCCACCAACCCACTCACCCACCAACCCACTCACCCACCAACTCACTCACCCACCAACCCACTCAACCACCAACTCACTCACCCACCAACCCACTCACCCACCAACCCACTCACCCACCAACCCACTAACCCACCAACCCACTCACCCACCAACCCACTCACCCACCAACTCACCAACTCACTCACCCACCAACTCACTCACCCACCAACTCACTCACCCACCAACCCACTCACCCACTCACCCACCAACCCACTCACCCACCAACTCACTCACCCACCAACCCACTCACCCACCAACCCACTCACCCACCAACTCACTCACCCACCAACTCACTCACCCACCAACCCACTCACCCACCAACTCACTCACCCACCAACCCACTCACCCACCAACTCACTCACCCACCAACTCACTCACCCACCAACTCACTCACCCACCAACCCACTCACCCACCAACTCACTCACCCACTCACCCACCAAATTCACTCACCCACCAACTCACTCACCCACCAACTCACTCACCCACCAACCCACTAACCCACCAACTCACTCACCCACTCACCCACTCACTCACCCACTCACCCACCAACCCACTCACCCACCAACTCACTCACCCACCAACTCACTCACCCACCAACCCACTCACCCACCAACTCACTCACCCACCAACTCACTCACCCACCAACCCACTCACCCACCAACTCACTCACCCACCAACTCACTCACCCACCAACTCACTCACCCACCAACCCACTCACCCACCAACCCACTCACCCACCAACTCACTCACCCACCAACCCACTCACCCACCAACTCACTCACCCACCAACTCACTCACCCACCAACCCACTCACCCACCAACTCACTCACCCACCAACCCACTCACCCACCAACTCACTCACTCACCCACCAACTCACTCACCCACCAACTCACTCACCCACCAACTCACTCACCCACTCACTCACCCACTCACTCACCCACTCACCCACCAACCCACTCACCCACCAACTCACTCACCCACCAACTCACTCACCCACCAACCCACTCACCCACCAACTCACTCACTCACTCACCCACCAACTCACTCACCCACCAACTCACTCACCCACTCACTCACCCACCAACCCACTCACCCACCAACCCACTCACCCACCAACTCACTCACCCACCAACTCACTCACCCACCAACTCACTCACCCACCAACTCACTCACCCACCAACCCACTCACCCACCAACTCACTCACCCACCAACTCACTCACCCACTCACCCACCAACTCACTCACCCACCAACCCACTCACCCACCAACCCACTCACTCACCCCACCCACCAACCCACTCACCCACCAACTTACTCACCCACCAACTTACTCACCCACCAACTCACTCACCCACCAACCCACTCACCCACCAACTCACCCACCAACTCACTCACCCACCAACTCACTCACCCACCAACTTACTCACCCACCAACTTACTCACCCACCAACTTACTCACCCACCAACTCACTCACCCACCAACCCACTCACCCACCAACTCACCCACCAACTCACTCACACACCAACTCACTCACCCACCAACCCACTCACCCATCAACTCACTCACCCACCAACCCACTCACCCACCAACTCACTCACCACCAACCCACTCAACCACCAACTCACCCACCAACCCACTCACCCACCAAACCCACTCACCCACCAACCACTCACCCACCAACCACTAACCCACCAACCCACTCACCCACCAACCCACTCACCCACCAACTCACCAACTCACTCACCCACCAACTCACTCACCCACCAACTCACTCACCCACCAACCCACTCACCCACTCACCCACCAACGCACTCACCCACCAACTCACTCACCCACCAACCCACTCACCCACCAACCCACTCACCCACCAACCCACTCACCCACCAACCCACTCACCCACCAACTCACTCACCCACCAACTCACTTACCCACTAACTCACCCACCAACTCATTCACCCACCAACTCACTCACCCACCAACTCACTCACCCACCAACTCACTCACCCACCAACTCACTCACCCACCAACTCACCCACCAACCAACTCACCCACCAACTCACTCACCCACCAACCCACTCACCCACCAACCCACTCACCCACCAACCCACTCACCCACCAACTCACTCACCCACCAACTCACTCACCCACCAACTCACTCACCCACCAACCCACTCACCCACCAACTCACTCACCCACCAAACTCACTCACCCACTCACCCACCAACTCACTCACCCACCAACTCACTCACCCACCAACCCACTAACCCACCAACTCACTCACCCACTCACTCACCCACTCACCCACTCACTCACCACTCACCCACCAACTCACTCACCCACCAACTCACTCACCCACCAACCCACTCACCCACCAACTCACTCACCCACCAACTCACTCACCCACCAACCCACTCACCCACCAACTCACTCACCCACCAACTCACTCACCCACCAACTCACTTACCCACCAACCCACTCACCCACCAACCCACTCAACCACCAACTCACTCACCCACCAACCCACTCACCCACCAACTCACTCACCCACCAACTCACTCAACCACCAACCCACTCACCCACCAACTCACTCACCCACCAACCCACTCACCCACCAACTCACTCACTCACTCACCCACCAACTCACTCACCCACCAACTCACTCACCCACCAACTCACTCACCCACCAACTCACTCACCCACTCACTCACCCACTCACTCACCCACTCACCCACCAACCCACTCACCCACCAACTCACTCACCCACCAACCCACTCACCCACCAACTCACTCACTCACCCACCAACTCACTCACCCACCAACTCACTCACCCACTCACTCACCCACCAACCCACTCACCCACCAACCCACTCACCCACCAACTCACTCACCCACCAACTCACTCACCCACCAACTCACTCACCCACCAACTCACTCACCCACCAACTCACTCACCCACCAACTCACTCACCCACCAACTCACTCACCCACTCACCCACCAACTCACTCACCCACCAACCCACTCACCCACCAACTCACTCACTCACCAACTCACCCACTCACTCACCCACCAACCCACTCATCCACCAACTCACTCACCCACCAACCCACTAACCCACCAACTCACTCACCCACCAACTCACTCACCCACCAACTCACTCACCCACTCACCCACCAACTCACTCACCCACCAACTCACTCACCCACCAACCCACTCACCCACCAACTCACTCACCCACCAACTCACTCACCCACTCACTCACACACGCACCCACCCACTCACCCACCAACCCACTCACCCACCAACTCACTCACCCACCAACCCACTAACCCACCAACTCACTCACCCACCAACTCACTCACCCACCAACTCACTCACCCACCAACTCACTCACCAACTCACTCACCCACCAACTCACTCACCCACTCACCCACCAACTCACTCACCCACTCACCCACCAACTCACTCACCCACTCACCCACCAACTCACCAACTCACCCACCCACTCACCCACCAACTCACTCACCCACTCACCCACCAACTCACTCACCCACTCACCCACCAACTCACCCACCAACTCACCCACCCACTCACCCACCAACTCACTCACCCACTCACCCACTCACCCACCAACTCACTCACCCACTCGCCCACCAACTCACCCACCAACTCACTCACCCACTCACCCACCAACTCACTCACCCACCAACTCACTCACCCACCCACCCACTCACCCACCAACTCACCAACTCACTCACCCACTCACTCACCCACTCACCAACTCACTCACCCACCAACCCACTCACCCACTCACCCACCAACCCACTCACCCACCAACTCACTCACCCACTCACCAACTCACTCACCCACGCACCAACTCACTAACCCACCAACCCACTCACCCACCAACCCACTCACCCACCAACTCACCCACCCTCTCACTCACCCACTCACTCACCCACTCACTCACTCACTCACCCACCAACTCACTCACCCACCAACTCACTCACTCACCAACCCACTCACCTACCAACTCACTCACCCACCAACTCACTCACCCACCAACTCACTTACCCACCAACCCACTCACCCACCAACTCACTCACCCACTCATCCACTCACTCACCCACTCACCCACCAACTCACTCACCAACTCACTCACCCACTAACTCACCCACCAACCCACTCACCCACCCACTCACCCACCAACTCACCCACTCACCCACTCACTCACCCACTCACTCACTCACTCACCCACCAACTCACTCACCCACTCACCCACCAACTCACTCACCCACTCACCCACCAACCCACTCACCCACCAACTCACTCACTCACTCACCAACCCACTCACCCACCAACTCCCTAACCCACCCACCCACCAACTCACTCACCCACCAACTCACTCACCCACCAACTCACTCACCCACCAACTCACTCGCCCACCAACCCACTCACCCACTCACCCACCAACTCACTCACTTACTCACCAAACCAACTCACCCACCAACTCACCCACCCACTCACCCACCAACCCACTCACCCACTCACCCACCAACCACTCACCCACTCTCCCACCAACTCACTCACCCACCAACCCACTCACCCACCAACTCACTCACCCACCAACCCACTAACCCACCAACTCACCCACTCACCCACCAACCCACTCACCCACCAACCCACTCACCCACCAACTCACTCACTCACTCACCAACCCACTCACCCACCAACTCCCTAACCCACCCACCCACCAACTCACTCACCCACCAACTCACTCACCCACCAACTCACTCACCCACCAACTCACTCACCCACCAACCCACTCACCCACTCACCCACCAACTCACTCACTTACTCACCAACCAACTCACCCACCAACTCACCCACCCACTCACCCACCAACCCACTCACCCACTCACCCACCAACCCACTCACCCACTCTCCCACCAACTCACTCACCCACCAACCCACTCACCCACCAACTCACTCACCCACCAACCCACTAACCCACCAACTCACCCACTCACCCACCAACCCACTCACCCACCAACCCACTCACCCACCAACTCACTCACTCACTCACCAACCCACTCACCCACCAACTCCCTAACCCACCCACCCACCAACTCACTCACCCACCAACTCACTCACCCACCAACTCACTCACCCACCAACTCACTCACCCACCCACCCACTCACCCACTCACCCACCAACTCACCCACTCACTCACCAACCAACTCACCCACCAACTCACCCACCCACTCACCCACCAACCCACTCACCCACTCACCCACCAACCCACTCACCCACTCACCCACCAACTCACCCACCCACTCACCCACCAACCCACTCACCCACTCACCCACCAACCCACTCACCCACTCACTCACCCACTAACCCAACTCTCCCCCCCCTCACCTCTCCCCCCCCCCCACCCTCCCCCCCCCTCCCTCCCCCCCCCCCAGCGCGGCCCCCCCAGCGCGGCCCCCACCCCGCCCTGCCTCCTCCGTGGCCCCCGCCCATCCCCCCACGGCTGTGGGCCCCCCCGCGGCCCCCCCCCGCCAGCCGGGCCTCATGGCCCAGATGGCCACCACAGCGGCCGGCGTGGCCGTGGGCTCGGCCATGGGCCACGTGCTGGGGGGGGCCCTCTCTGGGGCCTTGGGGGGGGGCGGAGGGGGGGAAGCGGCGCCAGCAGAGGCCGCTCGCCCTGACGTCACCTACCAGGTGGGTGGGGGGTGGGGTGGGGGGTGGGGGGGGTGGGTGGGGGTGGGGGGGTGGAGGGGTGGGTGGAGGGGTGGGTGGGGGGTGGGGGGGTGGGTGGGGGGGGTGAGTGAGTGGGTGGGGGGGGGTGAGTGGGTGGGGGGGTGAGTGGGGAGGGTGAGTGGGTGGGTGGGTGAGTGGGTAGGTGGGTGAGTGAGTGAGTGGGTGAGTGAGTGGGTGAGTGGGTGGGTGGGTGAGTGGGTGGGTGAGTGGGTGGGTGGGTGGGTGGAGGAGTGGGTGGGTGGAGGAGTGGGTGGGGTGGAGGAGTGGGTGGAGGAGTGGGTGGGGGGTGGGTTGAGTGGGTGGGGGGGTGGGTGAGCGGGTGAGGGGGTGAAGTGGGTGGAGGAGGGGGTGGGTGTGTGGAGTAGTGGTTGGGGAGGGTGAGGGGGTGAGCGGGTGAGCGGGTGAGGGGTAGGGGTGGGTGGATAGGAGTTAGCGAATAAGAAGAATCCGGTGGATAGGAGTTGGCGGATAGCAGGGACTTAGCGGATAGCAGGGACTTAGCGGATAGCAGGGACTTAGCGGATAGCAGGGAATTAGCGGATAGGAGGGACTTAGCCGATAGCAGGGACGTAGCGGATAGGAGGGACTTAGCGGATAGGAGGGAGGGACTTAGCGGATAGGAGGGAGGGACTTAGCGGATAGGAGGGAGGGACTTAGCGGATAGGAGGGAGGGACTTAGCGGATAGGAGGGAGGGACTTAGCGGATAGGAGGGACTTAGCGGATAGGAGGGAGGGACTTAGCGGATAGGAGGGAGGGACTTAGCGGATAGGAGGGAGGGACTTAGCGGATAGGAGGGAGGGACTTAGCGGATAGGAGGGACTTAGCGGATAGCGGGGACTCAGCGGATAGCGGGGACTCAGCGGGTAGCGGGGACTCAGCGGATAGCGGGGACTCAGCGGATAGCGGGGACTTAGCGGATAGCAGGGACGTAGCGGATAGGAGGGACTTAGCGAATAGCGGGGACTTAGCGGATAGGGGGGACTTAGCGGATAGCGGGGACTCAGCGGATAGCGGGGACTCAGCGGATAGCGGGGACTTAGCGGATAGCGGGGACTCAGCGGATAGCGGGGACTCAGCGGATAGCGGGGACTCAGCGGATAGCGGGGACTCAGCGGATAGCGGGGACTCAGCGGATAAGGGGGACTTGGGTGGTCCGGCGCCTCGTCGTCTGTTCCAGGAGCCTCCTCAGCCGCTGTTCCAGCGGCAGCCGTGCAGCGTGGAGATGAAGCAGTTCCTGGAGTGTGCCCAGAGCCAGTACGACCTGGGCCTGTGCGAGGGCTTCAACGAGGCGCTGCGTCAGTGCAAGACGGCCAACGGTGAGGGTAGGGTAGGGGTGGGGTGGGCCTGGCTCGCTCGGTGGCTCGCTCGGTGGCTCACTCACTCACCACTCAGTCGCTCGCTCGCTCACTCACCACTCAGTCGCTCACTCACTCACTCAGTCGCTCACCCACTCAGTCGCTCGCTCACTCACGTCAGTGGATCACTCACTTGCTTGCTCAGTGGGCTCGCTTACTCGGTGGCTCGCTCGGTGGCTCGCTCGCTCACCACTCAGGTCGCTCACTCACTCAGTCGCTCACTCACCACTCAGTCGCTCACCACTCAGTCGCTCACATCGCCACTCACTCGCTCGCTCGCTCACATCAGTCGCTCGCCTCACCACTCAGTCGCTCACTGCACCCTCAGTCGCTCGCTCACCACTCAGTCGCTCGCTCACTCACTCAGTCGCTCGACTCACCACTCAGTCGCTCGCTCACTCACTCAGTCGCTCACTCACCACTCAGTCGCTCACTCACTCAGTCGCTTCACTCACCACTCAGTCGCTCACCACTCAGTCGCTCACTCGCCACATCAGTCGCTCGCTCACCACTCAGTCGCTTCACTCAGCACTCAGTCGCTCGCTCACTCACATCAGTCGCTCGCTCACCACTCAGTCGCTCACTCACTCACTCAGTCGCTCGCTCACCACTCAGTCGCTCACTCACTCAGTCGCTCAGCTCACTCACTCAGTCGGATCGCTCACCACTCAGTCGCTCACATCACTCAGTCGCTCGCTCCACTCAGCTCAGTCGCTCGATCATCCCACTCAGTCGCTCGCTCGCTCACTCAGTCGCTCGCTCACCACTCAGTCGCTCACTCACCACTCAGTCCGCTCACTCACCACTCAGGTCGCTCGCTCACGCACTCAGTCGCTCACTCACCACTCAGTCGCTCGCTCACCACTCAGTCGCTCACTACACCACTCAGTCGCTCGCTCACCACTCAGTCGCTCACTCACCACTCAGTCGCTCGCTCACCACTCAGTCGCTCGCTCACTCAACTCAAGTCGCTCACTCACTCAGTCGCTCGCTCACCACTCAGTCGCTCACTCACCACTCAGTCGCTCACATCACCACTCAGTCGCTCACGTCACCACTCAGTCGCTCGCTCACACACTCAGTCGCTCGCTCACCACTCAGTCGCTCACTTCACCACTCAGTCGCTCACTCACTCACTCAGTTCGCTCACTCACCACTACAGTCGCATCGCTCACCACTCAGTCGCTCGCTCACCACTCAGGTCGCTCGCTCACCACTCAGTCGCTCACTCACTCACTCACTCAGTCGCTCACTCACCACTCAGTCGCTTGCTCACCACTCAGTCGCTCACCACTCAGTCGCTCACCCACTCAGTCGCTCACCACTCAGTCGCTCACCACCTCAGTCGCTCACCACTCAGTCGCTCACATCACTCAGTCGCTCACCACTCAGTCCGCTCACTCACCTGCTTGCTCAGTGGCATCGCTCACTCGGTGGCTCACTCGGTGGCTCACTCGTGGCTCACTCGGTGGCTCACTCACTCAGTGGCTCACTCGGTGGCTCACTCAGTGGCTCACTCACTCAGTGGCTCACTCGGTGGCTCACTCACTCAGTGGACCACTGTCACTCACTCAGTGGACCACTCGGTGGCTCACTCACTCGGTGGCTCACTCGGTGGCTCACTCACTCGGTGGCTCACTCACTCGGTGGCTCACTCAGTCACTCGCTCATCCACTCACTCAGTGGCTCACTGACTCAGTAGCTCACTTACCTCCCCACCCACCTGACTATCCACCCACTCACACACACAATCACCCATCCACTCACTCAACCACCCACCTAGCCACTCACCCACTCACTCACCCACCCCACCCACTCACCCACCCACTCACCCACCCCCACCCACTCACCCACCCCACCCACTCACCCACCCCCACCCACCCCACCCACACCACCCACTATCTCACTCACCCACTCACCCACTCACTCACCCACCTCACTCACCACCTCACTCACCCACTCGCTCACCCACTCGCTCACCCACTCGCTCACCCACTCGCCCACCCCACCCACCCCACTCACCCACCCCACCCACCCACCCCACTCACCCACCCCACCCACCCACCCCACTCACCCACCCCACCCACCCACCCCACTCACCCACTCACTCACCCCCCGCTCACCCACCCACTATCTCACTCACCCACTCACCCACTCACTTCACCCACTCACTCAATCACCCACCTCACTCACCCACTTCTCACCCACCCCATCCACTCACCCACTCACTCACACACCCACCCCACCCACCCCACCCCACCCACTCACCCACCCACTCACTCACCACTCACTCACCCACTCACTCACTCACCCACTCACTCACCCACTCGCCCACCCCACCCACCCACTCACCCACCCCACTCACCCACCCCACCCACTCACCCACCCCACCCACTCACCGACCTATTCACCCATCCACTCACCCACCCCACTCACCCACCCCACCCACTCACTCACCCACCCCACCCACCCCACCCACCCACCCCACCCACTCACCGACCTACTCACCCATCCACTCACCCACCCCACCCAACCACTCACCGACCTACTCACCCATCCACTCACCCACCCCACTCACCCACCCCACTCACCCACCCCACCACTCGCCACCCCACCCACTCACCGACCTACTCACCCATTCACTCACCCACCTAGCCACTCACCCACACACTCACCCATCCCCTCACCCATCCCCTCACCCATCCCCTCACCCATCCACTCACCCACCCACTAACTCTGTGCTCCCCCCCCACCAACTCCCCCCCCACCAACTCCCCGTGTCCCCCCGTGTGGCTGTAGGATTGTAGTGGTCGAGATCTGTACAGGAATGGGAGTCGCAAGGCTGCAGAGCCTGGCCATGAGTGGAGGAGGTGGAGGAGGAGAGACCCTCAGCTGTCCCAGCACCAACACCATCACCAGCACCAACACCATCACCAGCACCACCAATCATTACCATCACTAACACCATTACCATCACTAACACCATCACCAACACCATCACTAACACCATCACCAACACCAACACCATCACTAACACCATCACTAACATATCACTAACACCATCACCATCACTAACACCAGCACCAACACCATCACCAACACCAGCACCATCAACCAACACCAGCCCTAACACCATCACTAACACCAACACCATTACCACGAAGCAGTACCACAACCAGCACCATCACTAACACCATCACCAACACCACCAGCACCATCACTAACACCATCACCACAACCAGCACCATCACTAACACCATCACCAACACCACCAGCACCATCACTAACACCATCACCAGTACCGTCATCGTCACCAACACCATCACCACCAGCACCATCACCACTATCAGCGCACCAGCACCATCACCACCAGCATTACCACAATCAGCACCAGCACCGCAATCACGACCATGAGTAGCACCACCACCACCGCCATCATCCTTAGCATCATCGCCATCATCATTACCACCCGCCATCACCGCCATCACCGCCATCACCGCCACCACCTCCATCACCGCCATCACCTCCATCACCTCCATCACCCCGGCCACCAACCTCCATCACACGCCACCACCTCCATCACCGCCACCACCATCATTATCTTTATCCTAAGTCAATAAATGCTGTGAGCTGAAGTTTTTGTGCGTATCTGGGTTCACCATGGAGGGGATGGGTGAGTTCACCATGGGTGGGATGGGTGAGTTCACCATGGAGGGGATGGGTGAGTTCACCATGGGGGGGATGGGTGAGTTCACCATGGGGGGATGGGTGAGTTCACCATGGGGGGGATGGGTGAGTTCACCATGGGGGGATGGGTGAGTTCACCATGGGTGGGATGGGTGAGTTCACCATGGGGGGATGGGTGAGTTCACCATGGGGGGATGGGTGAGTTCACCATGGGGGATGGGTGAGTTCACCATGGGTGGGATGGGTGAGTTCACCATGGGGGGATGGGTAAGTTCACCATGGGATGGGTGAGTTCACCATGGGGGGATGGGTGAGTTCACCATGGGGGGATGAGTGAGTTCACCATGGGGAGATGGGTGAGTTCACTATGGGGATGGGTGAGTTCACCATGGGGGATGAGTGAGTTCACCATGGGGGGATGGGTGAGTTCACCATGAGGGGATGGGTGAGTTCACCATGGAGGGGATGGGTGAGTTCACCATGGAGGGGGATGGGTGAGTTCACCATGGGGGGGGATGGGTGAGTTCACCATGGGATGGGCGAGTTCACCATGGGGAGATGGGTGAGTTCACCATGGGGGGATGGGTGAGTTCACCATTGGGGGACGGGTGAGTTCACCATGGAGGGGATGGGTGAGTTCACCATGGGGGGATGGGTGAGTTCACCATAGAGGGGATGGGTGAGTTCACAATGGGGGGATGGGTGAGTTCACCATTGGGGGATGGGTGAGTTCACCATGGAGGGGATGGGTGAGTTCACAATGGGGGGATGGGTGAGTTCACCATGGGATGGGCGAGTTCACCATGGGGAGATGGGTGAGTTCACCAGTGGAGGGGATGGACGAGTTCACCATGGGGGGATGGGTGAGTTCACCATGGGGGGATGGGTGAGTTCACCATGGGTGGGATGGGTGAGTTCACCATGGGGGAGATGGGTGAGTTTCACCATGGGATGGGTGGAGTTCACCATGAGGGGATGGGTGAGTTCACCATGGGATGGGTGAGTTCACCATGGGGAGATGGGTGAGTTCACCATGGGATGGGTGAGTTCACCAATGGGTGGGATGGGTGACTTCACCATGGGGGGATGGGTGAGTTCACCATGGGATGGTGTGAGTTCACCATGGGGAGATGGGTGAGTTCACCATGGGGGGGGATGGGTGAGTTCACATGGGATGGGCGAGTTCACCATGGGGAGATGGGTGAGTTCACCATGGGGGGATGGTGAGTTCACCATGGAGGAGATGGGTGAGTTCACCATGGGGGGATGGGTGAGTTCACCATGGGATGGGTGAGTTCACCATGGGATGGGTGAGTTCACCATGGAGGGGATGGGTGAGTTCACATGGGGGGATGGTGAGTTCACCATGGGGGGATGGGTGAGTTCCACCATGGGGGGGGGATGGGTGAGTTCACCATGGGATGGGCGAGTTCACCATGGGGAGATGGGTGAGTTCACCATGGGGGGATGGGTGAGTTCACCATTGGGGGACGGGTGAGTTCACCATGGAGGGGATGGGTGAGTTCACCATGGGGGGATGGGTGAGTTCACCATGGAGGGGATGGGTGAGTTCACAATGGAGGGGATGGGTGAGTTCACCATTGGGGGGATGGGTGAGTTCACCATGGAGGGGATGGGTGAGTTCACAATGGGGGGATGGGTGAGTTCACCATGGGATGGGCGAGTTCACCATGGGGAGATGGGTGAGTTCACCATGGAGGGGATGGGTGAGTTCACCATGGAGGGGATGGACGAGTTCACCATGGGGGGATGGGTGAGTTCACCATGGGGGGGATGGGTGAGTTCACCATGGGGGGATGGTTGAGTTCACCATGGGTGGGATGGGTGAGTTCACCATGGGGGGATGGGTGAGTTCACCATGGGTGGGATGGGTGAGTTCACCATGGGGGGATGGGTGAGTTCACCATGGGATGGGTGAGTTCACCATGGGGAGATGGGTGAGTTCACCATGGGATGGGTGAGTTCACCATGGGGAGATGGGTGAGTTCACCATGGATGGGTGAGTTCACCATGGGTGGGATGGGTGAGTTCACCATGGGGGGGATGGGTGAGTTCACCATGGGATGGGTGAGTTCACCATGGGGGGATGGGTGAGTTCACCATGGGGGGGGATGGGTGAGTTCACCATGGGATGGGCGAGTTCACCATGGGGAGATGGGTGAGTTCACCATGGGGGGATGGGTGAGTTCACCATTGGGGGGACGGGTGAGTTCACCATGGGAGGGGATGGGTGAGTTCACCAATGGGGAGATGGGTGAGTTCACCATGGAGGGGATGGGTGAGTTCACAATGGGGGGATGGGGTGAGTTCACCATGGGGGGGATGGGTGAGTTAACCATGGAGGGGATGGGTGAGTTCACCATGGGGGGATGGGTGAGTTCACCATGGGATGTGCGAGTTCACCATGGGGAGATGGGTGAGTTCACCATGGAGGGGATGGGTGAGTTCACAATGGAGGGGATGGGTGAGTTCACCATGGGGGATGGGTGAGTTCACCATGGGATGGGTGGAGTTCACCATGGGATGGGTGAGTTCACCATGGGATAGGTGAGTTCACCATGGGTGGGATGGTGAGTTCACCATGGGGGGGATGGGTGAGTTCACCATGGGGGGATTGGGTGAGTTCACCATGGAGGGATGGGTGAGTTCACCATGGATGGGATGGGTTGATGTCCCATGGGATGGGTGAGTTCACCATGGGAGGGGTGAGTTCACATGGAGATGGGTGAGTTTACCATTGTGGAATGGGTGAGTTCACCATGGGATTGGGTGAGTTCACCATGGGGGGATGTGTGAGTTCACCATGGGATGGGTGAGTTCACCATGGGGGGGATGGGGTGAGTTCACCATGGGTGGGATGGGTGAGTTCACCATGGGAGGGGATTGGGTGAGTTCACCATGGGGGGGGATGGTGAGTTCACCATGGGGGGATGGGTGAGTTCACCATGGGGGGGATGGGTGATTCACCATGGAGGGGATGGGTGAGTTCACCATGGGGAGGATGGGTGAGTTCACCATGGGGGTGATGGGTGAGTTCACCATGGAGGGGATGGGTGAGTTCACAATGGGGGGATGGGTGAGGTTCACCATGGGGATGGGGTGAGGTTCACCAGAGGGGGATGGGTGAGTTCACCATGGGGAGGATGGGTGAGTGTCACCATGGGGGGGGATGGGTGAGTTCACCATGAGGGATGGGCGAGCTTCACCATGGGGAGATGGGTGAGTTCACCATGGGGGGGATGGTGAGTTCACCATGGGGGGATGGTGAGTTCACCATTGGGGGACGGGTGAGTTCACCATGGAGGGGATGGGTGAGTTCACCATGGAGGGGATGGGTGAGTTCACCATGGGGGAGTCACCATAGGGTGAGTTCACCTATGGAGGGGGATTGGGGTGAGTTCGACAATGGGGGGATGGGTGAGTTTACCATTGGGGGATGGTGAGTTCACCATGGAGGGGGATTGGTGAGTTCACAATGGGGGGGATGGGTGAGTTCACCATGGGATGGGCGAGTTCACCATGGAGGGGATGGGTGAGTTCACCATGGGATGGGTGAGTTCACCATGGGGGGGATGGGGTGAGTTCACCATGGAGGGATGGGTGAGTTCACCATGGGGATGGGTGAGTTCACACATGGGGGGGGATGGGTGAGTTCACCATGGAGGGGATGGTTGAGTTCCACAATGGGGGGATGGGTGAGTTCACCATGGGATGGGTGAGTTCACCATGAGAGGGATGGGTGAGTTCACCATGGGGAGATGGGTGAGGTCACCATGGGGGGGGATGGGTGAGGTTCACCATGCGATGGGCGAGTTCACCATGGGGAGATGGGTGAGTTCACCATGGGGGGATGGGTGAGTTCACCATTGGGGGACGGGTGAGTTCACCATGGAGGGGATGGGTGAGTTCACCATGGGGGGATGGGTGAGTTCACCATGGAGGGGATGGGTGAGTTCACAATGGGGGGATGGGTGAGTTTACCATTGGGGGATGGGTGAGTTCACCATGGAGGGGATGGGTGAGTTCACAATGGGGGGGATGGGTGAGTTCACCATGGGATGGGTGAGTTCACCATGGGGGGGATGGGTGAGTTCACCATGGAGGGGATGGGTGAGTTCACCATGGGGGGATGGGTGAGTTCACCATGGGATGGGTGAGTTCACCATGAGGGGATGGGTGAGTTCACCCTGGGGAGATGGGTGAGGTCACCATGGGGGGGGATGGGTGAGTTCACCATGGGATGGG